CTTCATTATTTTCTTCAACTACCTCCCCCCCCCCCCCTCACATATATATCTCTCTCTCTCTCTCTCTCTCTCTCTCTTTCTCTCTCCTCTTCTCTCTATCTATCTCTCTCTCTCTCTCTTTCCCCTCTTCTTCTCTTCCGATAGGGGTTTTTCGTTTGTCACGTCCTCATAGTCTGACGTCAAAGATGTGACGTCATTTCGGCGATTTGCGCCTGTGTCGGGTCGTTTGGCGTCGTCAGAACCCGTTCATCGATGATTTGAGGTTCGTCAGAAAACTAGTGTCCCGTCGTCAAAATGACGTCATCTTGCTACATTGCAGCGTAAATCAGAAAGTAAAAACAGAAAGAGAAAGTGATAGAATGATAAAAACAAGGAATAACATAAGAGAAGATGATAGAAGGGAGAAACAAAGGATAACATAAGGAAAGACAGAAAGAGAAGGTTAAAGAACGAAGAAACAAAGGATAACATAAGGAAAGACAGAAAGAGAAAGTGATAGAATGATAAAAACAAAGAATAACATAAGAGAAGGTGAAAAAAGGAAAAAAACAAAGAATAACATTAGGACAGACAGAGATAGAAAGTGATAGAATGATAAAAAAAAAAAAAAAAGAATAACATAGGAGAAGATGATAAAAGGAAGAAAAAAGGATAACATAAGGAAAGACAGAAAGAGAAAGTGATAGAATGATAAAAACAAAGAAAAACATAGGAGAAGATGATAGAAGGAAGAAAAAAAAATTAAGGATAAGATAAAAAAAGACGGAAAGAGAAAGTGATAGAATGATAAAAACAGAGAAAAACATAAGAGAAGATGATAGAAGGAAGAAACAAAGGATAACATAAGGAAAGACAGAAAGAGAAAGTGATAGAATGATAAAAACAAAGAATAACATAGGAAGGGCTCAAATTAATTTTTTGTCCACGGGGGCTCTTCCCCCTCAAAAAGAGCCCCCGTGAGCCTTCTCACGGGGGCTCTTTTAGTACTGACGGGGGCTCTTTTTTATACTAATATCAATTGAATTGGTACCTTTGATACTCCTCAATTATTTGCTATTTCATCATTATCATTGCAATCAGCATTTTCCCTCTTACAAATTTACAAGCTACATAGCTGTTACTGGCCTGTGTATATAATATATACGCATACAACACTGATCTTTATGATGTCTTTAACGTGACATATCTTCTTCTCCCCTTGCAAACGAGAAAGAAAACAAGGTCATTAAAAGGATTAAGCGACAAATAATGATTGTGATTCAAATTGATGCGAATATTTATTTGAATAAGCACTGCTATTCACCCGAATCTTCTTTGTAAAAACAACTTTTACAAATCTCAGCCATGCTTTATACTGAGTTGAGACGTTCCATTCAATGTAAAATACTCATTAAAGAATACACTTCTCCTAATCTGAAAGTGATCTTACAACACAGTGGCAGATTTGCATGGCTGAGATTTGTAAAAGTCGTTTTAACAAAGAAGATTCTGGTGAAAAGCATTGCTTATTCAAAAAAAATCCTTGCATCAATTTGAATCACAATGATTATTTTTCGCATGATCCTTTTATTAAATAACCTTGTTTTCTTTTTTGTTTGCAGGGGGAGAAGAAGCTATGTCACGTTAAGAAATCATAAAGATCAGTGGTATTATGCGTATATACATTAATGATACCAGAACAAATGTTGATTATCAGAATGTCATTTTGGAATACCTCTATACAAATACCACATTGCTTTAGCCCGTATCAGTATTAGTATGATCCAATATAAAGCTATTATTCTTTATTTAATTCAGTATAATGCTTTTCCTCAAAAATAGTTTTGCTATTTTTTTTTAGGATTGAGACGCTAAGAAATGGTTTCAAATTCATACTACACGAACCCTGCATGAACCATTGCAAAATGATGGTGGTTCTCTCTCTCTCTCTCTTTATTTTAATCATGCATTATCAACTACATAATAAAGCAGCAACCAAAAACTTAGGGTTATCTGAGATAGGTGAAAGTAAGAGTTAAAAAGAAAGTCATGCTAAAACGGCGCTTCACTTCCCCCCCCCCCTGAAAAAAAAAATAGAGTAGTCCTCCTCTCCAGCATCCCCCCCCCCCCCCCCCGCTTTAATATCACATTTTCACTCCGGGCAGCCCAAGGGGGCCGGGGGTGGGAGGAGGGGGTTAAACCCCCTAATCCTCCCCCCCCCCCCCCGTAGATCTGCCCATGTTACCATATTATTCCACGACATCTTGGTCTTCCTCTTCTTCTCAATAGGGACTTTTAGATTTGCGTGGACGTGCACTGGCAGTCACATGACTGTGACGTCCTTTTAAGCACTGGCACTGCCTTAAAAGGAGGTCACACGTAGCAGTCCACGTTCTCATCGTGCAAATCTAAAAATCCCTAATATTGATGTACTGGTCGAGGTTCATTATTTGCTGGTCATTTGAAATCACCAGATTTCAGCGGGTTAACGCTTTCACAACGAAAAACTTCTTCATGACCATGTTTCTGCCCTTTCGCGATCGCCTCCAGCTCGAGCAGACATGGCGCGGCAGCGTGCACACATACCGCTACTAACGGCGCAGTAGGCCTATAACCACTGCTGACGGCGGCACTGCGAGCTGAATAGGCCTATACTCATAAAAACGAGAAATGTTGCACGCTAATCTAAGTTCAATTTCATTGGTTTAAGGTTTGAAAATTGAAACTCAATATTATGTTAAAGTTATAACAGAAAAGATAATCTTTATTTTATAATTCCACGGGGGCGATTTTTAATTTTGCAATCGCCCCCGTGAGCAACCTGACGGGGGCGATTATGTAGCTCACGGGGGCGAATCGCCTACCGCCCCCGTGTATTTTGAGCGCTGATACATAGGAGAAGATGATAGAAGGAAGAAAAAAAAGGATAACATAAGGAAAGACAGAAAGAGAAGGTTATAGAAGGAAGAAACAAACTATAACATAGGGAAAGACGGAAAGAGAAAGTGAAAGAATGATAGAAGGAAGAAACAAATTTAAGGATAAGATAAGAAAAGACAGAAAGAGAAAGTGATAGAATGATAAAATAAATACAAAATTAATACACGAGAAGATGAAAGAAGGGAAAACAAAGAATAACATTAATAAAGACAGAAATAGAAAGTGATAGAATGATAAAAACAAAGAATAACATAGGATAAGATGATAGAAGGAAGAAACAAAGAATAACATAAGGAAAGACAGAAAGAGAAGGTTATAGAAGGAAGAAACAAAGAATAACATAGGAAAAGACAGAAAAAGAAAATAATTTTAAAAAACAGAAGAAAATGGATCGATAGAAGAGAAGATGAATGATAGAAAAAACAAAGAATAACATAAGGAATGGTAGGGAAAAAGTATAGAACGATAAAAACAAAGAATAAGAAAAGGTGATAGAAAGAAGAAACAAAGAATAATATGAGGAAAGATAAAAAGAAAATATGATAGAATGATAACAACAAACAATAACATTAGGAAAGAAAGAAGGAGAAAATGATTAACTCTTTGCCCGAGAATAGACAATGGAAAGATAGGAGAGAAGATGAAAGAACGAAAAACAAAGAATAACATAAGGAAAATAGAGGGAGAAAAATATAAATTAATAAACGAAGGATAACATAAGACGTGAAAGAAGGAGAATTTGAAGAAGCACATGCGGGGGCCATAACGTCATCGTGTGGAGAATGGGCGTCGAGTAAAAACGAAAAGGGTTATAAGGTAGTAAATGTTTCCTACTTAAGCAGGGTGTTTTGACCCCCTCCCCGACCACTCCCGCTTGGTCGCATGGTCGCTCCGCTCCCTCGCCGCTGACGCTTCGCTCTGTCGCTTGGCTTCATATTTTTTCTTATATTTCACCCCACGCGATTGTGTCCCCCTGTGGCAGAACCAGGGGGACGGGCCCGGCCCCCTCTCCGTGCTATTTACCCCCCCCCCCCCCCCTCCCCGCTTATTCACCAGCTGGCTGTTTCGCTGTTTTCTCATGAATTGGGCTCCCTCTTTGGTCCCCTCCCCCTGCCGCCGGCTGGATCCGCGCCTAGTGCCTCACCCCCAACCCCCGTAACAGATTCCTGGATCCGCCACTGTGCATACTACCGCCTTTGACAAAATCCAGGGAAGAACGGTGATATTATATTTGCTCGTCGTTCAGGTTATTAATATTAGTTCGTTCATAACGCCATCTTTGGCGGCTTGAGTCAAGTGTAGGGACTAAAGAACCGGCCAGATTCTGAACCATAGGGCAGGCGCTGATCCAAAGGGGGGGGGGGGGGGGGGGGAGGAAGGCGCGACGGCCCCGGGACCCCCTGGCTTTAAAAAAGTTATATATATATATACACTGTTGGTCATAATGGTGGAATAATTATGTTTAGCCCAATTTATAGAATGATTTTGACAATAATTTATTCCTAATAGATCTAGATAATAGCATACATTCTCAGATTTTATTGAATGACAATTGGGGAGGGTTTGTTTTGCGTGACTGCTAAAGCATGTGTGTGCTGCAATGCTAATCAACTAGGGGACTTACGTCCTTAAGTCATAATTGACAGTAATGGGGATTAATACCTCATAAAAGGGCACTAATATAGCATATCGACACGGTTTTGATCCTGGGGGCTCACAGTAACGAGGCCATTGCTTAGCCAATGAATCATGACTGTACGCAGAGGGCGCTAGGGTACGTCGACGCCCCCACGGGGCGGCCGGGTGGAGGCTGATTAGCCGCTAAAGAATATTTTCTCATGGGAATATTTTGTTAAAGCTCATTACCCCCCCCCCCCCCCCTCCCTAGCAGGAGTAGAAGGAGTAGGCGGAGTTTTGTCCCTGTAATCTGTTCCTTCTATCTTTCTTTGTTTTGATCATTATTTAAGCAAGCTTTTTTATTACTATTATTATTGTAATTATGCGTTGTCATCATAACAAGCCCTGCGCTGTGTGTGCGTCATACTTGCGAACGTATCATTGAGAATGATTGAGAACCAAACGCGCACGCACGCGTACGCACGTCTGGAGCCAAAATGGCGAAATGAATCAGCTGAATGAATGAACGAATAATTCTATCGTCTTAAATTCAGAACATTTTCCGGCCGCACCTTGCCTTTTTCCACACACTTTGCAACGGAACCACATTGCAACAAACATCGTGGAAATGAGTGAACTCACACCAGATGAGGTATTGTGAAATAACTGATATTATACAGCGGAGGCTTTGTTGATTTCTTTGTTCTGTTCTAGCTTTCTTCGTGTTGTTGTGTTTCAGTTCCGTGCAGTTGCACGCTGTCCCACCCGTTAAATATTGTGTTACTTATATAAAATGTACACGTATACATTTAATGAATAGATTCTAGTCTAGATCTAGTAGCCTAATAATATATGAATTGGGCTAAGATCACTCCTACAATCACTCCTACTTATGCATGAAGTCTTACTGTAAACTGTATCGACCTCAGCCTCAAACACGCATTAGGAGTCATTACTTAGCGCTAAAGTGTAAAGACAAAGTTACGGTGTCTGACGATTTTTCAATTTTCAATGTTGAATGTTGGACAGTTTTTCACCATTTTTGTTTCATATTTCATTAAAAAATGTAATCAGAATAATACTTTCAAATTTCAAGCCTCACTGATGTTTCTATCTAAAGATACAGCTCCTCCAAAACTCTGAAGGGTATTTTCCAACTGCTGCGTGCGTGTGTGATCTTTTGCAGTTTTGGGGCTATCGTATCATTGTAGCAAAAAAATTAAGTGCCATGCCCATACTAGGGAGGCCAATGCCCGGGCGTAAGGCTTCTACGCCTACGATTTGTGCGTGCGTCGTCCAAGTTAGAAAATTACCAGAAGAAAAAAAAAGGGAAAAAAAAAGAAAACAAATATCTATGGAATCAATTCCATAACAAATACACAATTGTACACTCCACAACATACCTATAGTCAGGGATCTGTAATGCTCTTTCACCATTTTGTTGACGATCTTGCAGATTTTGACGTATTTGAATTCAATAATTCTGTCCGAGAGGGCGTGGAGGTTAGCTCACTAAAATCCTTCTCAATGGTAGGTAGACCCTAAAAATATGGAATCTGTTTAAATGAAAGAACTTTTGATAGAGATTAACATATCAGATGTGCACAAATGTCACTTTTAACAACTAGAGTCTAGAAAATATAACGAAAAAAGATTAGACCTATATCTTTTTAATTGCAGATTTTTAAAAACTGCACATTCGAAGGTACATGTAGATAGAGTACAATGTTTTTGTCAATCTTGCGTTGGTTTGAGGCCGATAGCTACAGCCATCTCAAATTGAGAAGGGAAACTGTGAACAGAGATGTCATTGTTCTAGCCCCAAATAGAGATCTTGCGACATCATAATATGAATATGTATGAGCTCCAGTCAGAACGCCCACCGAACAAATTTGGCTAGTCTCACACACAGTACCTTATTCTCACAGCACTAGACATGAGTGTCGAGCTTGTGCAGTAAATCATGCATGAAAAATGTTTAAAAAAATATTTCAGTTAAAAATGTCTACGTGAGCAGTTGATTCATATTTATGTTGGTGTACACAAAAGCCACTTTGAAGTAATGAACATATCTGCAGACTCATATTTCCTTCTCCACATTCTGGTCATGCCATTGCATTGTGAAAGAAACGTTGTGGAATCGATCAGAAAAGGTTGATCATCTAGAATATAAGTATTGGTGTGTACAGCAAGGTTCTGGAATCATCAAAATGATTTGAAATTTGGCCCAGTCTTGGTAAAGTTACAAGCACTGTACATGTACACATAAAGATGTATACAGGACTACGCATTATCTATCCAGTCAGGATAGATATTCTAATTTAGTGCTGTAAGTCAGACGCTATGTTCGTGTTTGGTTCGGTTCGGCAGAGTTAGGCAATTTTTCACCCGAACTTGGTTCGGTTCGGGGTTCGGTAATTTAATAGCAAGCAGCGTTATAGCCACGGCCGTCGGGACTGGGCAGGCCGCCCGCCCTGCCGGGCCCGACCGGCACGGAGGACTTCTGCACACTGCTTCCGACCAGCACGAATTTCACATTAAAAATCTGCTCTAAACGTAATTATTTGTGAAGAAAAATACTACTTACATTCGTATTTCCGTCTTGAATCGTGTTTTATTTTCAATTTTAAAAGAATCATGTTTTCAATTTGTCAATAAATGATGTTTTTAAAAGATTTTCCGAGACGGTTGTTGTCTAATGTTAGAGTCACGAAAGGTGCCATCTTGAATAGAGACTTTCAGGCTCGCCAAGAACTGTTTTTTATAAGTTTTTATTTCCAATAGGAAAAATATAAAATCCCTATTTTTCCTGAATAAATAAATACCATACTATAATATATATTTATTTCATTATTTATATTGTACAATTTGTCCGATATGGTTACAATTAAAATATTAATTTTTTGTTCAATGGGTTTGAGCAAATTGAGCTGAACTTGTTTTGATCACGCACATGTATTCTTGCTTATGCCTTGCGATCGTGACGTAGCGTGGTCAGGATTTGGGTTAAATGGCGCCAGTGAAGTTGCGCCCACCACTGGATAGGCATAAATCACAAGGGCGGAAAATGGCAAAAAAGTAAATATAATATGAGCAATCATAACATGAAAATTAGGTACAAAATGAAAAGTTTATTAGCTTGCAAAAACGTTTACATTTTTTTTGCCGAACATCCGAACCAGGCCTTTGCGTTGGGTTCGGTTCGGTTCGGTTCAGAAGTGCCATGTTCGGCGAACTTCCGTTCGGTTCGGCGGTTCAGCTACAGCACTATTCTAATTTACCAAATATATCAATTAGTAGGTGGTTTCCTGGCAAAATTTGTATCATCACGTATTAGTCAAAACATATTCTTTCACATGATTGGTAATAAGAGCTTCAATTTCATTTTTTGAGAGAGAGGTGTTTCCAAAACTGGTTATACCTTTAATGGACAAAAATTTGAGAAACAGAATTAATTTCTTTTCTTAATGCACATGTATAGAGAGCAAAAAATGTAGATTATCCTATAAATATATTGTCTATGCATTTAACTCGTCATCTGTTTAGTTTCCTGTATCAATTTGACCATGATTGATCTGATGTTTGTATAATTTTGGTTTTCATTGTAAGATTCGACGGAGGCGTCTAGCTCGACTAGATAGAAGTCCTGCAGGTCCAGTGGCTAGGACGACACCAAGCCAGGAATTCGGGGCGGAGCAGTCAATGACACCTACCTCTCCTACTCAGCTTGCAGCTAGCCCAATAAGACCTCCACTTGCTATTGATGTTGCAGGTGAGATGTCATTGAAAAGTCTTATTTTATAATTCATATTCAGGTTTTTGTCAATTCAGCATACAGTCCAGATATTATTCATGTATTTACCACACATAGGAGCATCACTATCCTGGCTGTGTAGTAAAAGCTGTGCTTTTGATTCTCAACATTTCAAACATCACTGTACAAAACTCAACTTATTTCACTCAAAATCGGTACTTTAGTGACAATTGATGACACCTAAATAGCAGTAAAATACATTTTTTTTTAACTTACTGATGTTAAAAAGAACAATTTAAAAATTCAAATTGTAAGTCTAGTGTCAAACTTTGCTTACAGCTGATTGTGTAGAGTCTATGCGATATTGTGTGGTGTGTGTATTTACATGTATGTATGGGTATAATAATACCTGCCTCACAGCAAGCATGCAGTGCTAGAGGTCAATATGCATTAGGATTGACTCTCTATGCTTTGCTGGAGTGGTATTTACCACACTTGCTTTATTTTTTATTATTTTTTTTCTATTTAGTTGTGTTTTTGTTTATTCATTTGTTTATTCACTTCTTTCTTTCTTTCAAATTTCATCCCGATTCCAGAGTAGCCTGTTATGTTGCAAAAGATAAAAGTTTGAACATTCACGTACTGTACTAGACTTCTGCAGGGTTCTGCATAAAACACAAGGAATATGCATATATACTTAAACAAATACAACATTAATTGCATGTACTTGCAGTACATCATGTTCAGCTTTCAGATTAAAGATAATTCAAAACTAAATGTACATGTACATATCAGCATTAAAAAACTTTCAGTTTTCCTTAATAAAGCCAGGTGTAGGTATTGTCTCTAATGTTGACGTGCTATAGTCCAAGCATAGCACAAGTGCCATTGGGTGGTATTCTCAAAAGTGGACTAACTTTAGTCCATGGTTAAATCCACCGACTAAGTATGGAATGCCAAGTGTCCATATGATTATGTTTTTTAATAATTCTATCTGTCATTAATTAAAAAAAAGTTTAAAGACATAATTGATAAACAACAATACATGTAAGTATGATATAATTATGTTATCATGGTAATTAAAGGGACATATCAAATCATTTAAAAATATATTCATATGGACACTTGGCATTTCATACTTAGTCGGTGGATTAAACCATGGACTAAAGTTAGTCAACTTTCGAGAATACCACCCATTATATTTATCATGATTGTAGATTCTTCAGGTACCTGCAGTGATCTAGGAAGAGGAAGCTCCGTAGAGGGCGCTCAGAGCAATGCAAGCAGCCAATCACCTGTCTCAGAGGAGCCTATGCCCAGCTTGGATAGCAGCGGGGTTGGGAGTCTGGACGCTGACCCACCACAGAGCATGGATATGGACTGCCAATCAGCATGTGATGTAGGGTATGTAACTACCAGGGTTCTCACTTGGTCCACATTAGGCCATACAAAAAAGAGATGTTGTATTGCCCTTTGCGACGACCCCCCATAAAATGTTACCATTTTTTAGGAAAAAAAATGTATTAAAGCATTCATAACTGAGAAATATCAGCCCAAAGAGGGAGTAAAAAAAAATAATCTGACTAATCGACCTATGTTTTGGCACCTAAAGGGCAATACAACATTTTTATTTTTAGGCTTTATCAATCAACCTTTTTATGTTTAAAATAAATTAAAGACTTTTACAGGGCTGCACATTATTTATTTTTTTGTTAGAGGGTGCAGATTTTAGTTTTTAATGTCTTGATACATGTAAACATTTAGAAATGTCAGGGGTCTGGACCTAGATTTGTGACCCGGGCGCCTGTTAGTGCCGAACCATGACTATTAGATTGATTTGAGAAGAAACATTTCCAATTAATTATCAAAGTTATGACAACTTCACTACCTGGGATCCTGCTAATTGTTGTGTTGGAATCGGACCAATCGGTGTATGAGATATTGGCAGTAGGAGAGGTACATACAAGGAGAGGCTTGTATGCTCCCCAGGGAGTGGAGATTTCAAGCACTGAATCCAATGACTGGGGTAATAGTATATTTGTAAAGCGCTTAGAGACATTTGTATTAAGCGCTATATAAAAATTAAATATTATTATTATTTCCGGAGTCATATGAGAGTATTTATTATCTCCAAACTTTGGAGAATCAAATCAGTCACATCATTATAGACTTACACATACATGTATGTAAAACACAAAATGAAGAGAGAGCCAGCTAGAAAGAGGGTCTTGATTTAATGGTGATAAAAACTGGGCTCCCTCCAGAAAGCCAGAACATGTAATATTTATACAGAAGAATACTAGTATACATTGTGTCAAAGGGACAAAGGCACGAGTGAGGGCCGCCAAAACAATAGACAACTTGGTAGTTTTATGTATGGGGCTTAAACATAATAGATGTGTTCTTTCCTGGGAGGTGGATTATGAATGCACTTGGTCTTTCTATGGGGAAGGATTATAAAGATATGAACCTGGCGTTTAAGTGCATCTCAAATTGGGCATCTTGTCAGGGTATAAATATGAGGGTACTTTATAATTAACTGGGTTTTGGGTCAATACTACACAACATAATCCAAAGATTAATTCTCATTCCTCAATATGAGCTTTTGATCTTACACTTGCAAAAACCAGCTACATTTCTGTACCACTTTCTTGAAAGCCCCACTGTCCTACTTGTAGCTACTTGCTCCCTCTATATAGAAAACTTCCCCAATCGGTGCCTGTTGGTCCCCCATGATCCTCTATTTCTTATGTTATTTGAGAGCTGAGTTGATGAGATAGCCACCTGTCAGTGACCTTGCTGTGTGGTCTAATCCCTCCGAGCCACACTAGTGTTGATAAGCTTTAACGCATGTTGTATTGTCTGTGTTTTTGATTAGGTCTTTGTCTCAGATGGATGTGGATTCTGGTATTGAGACTACGGAAGTGGAAGAAGTTCCCTCTGCCAAGAAGAAGTCTTCCCCTCGAGTAAGAATGAATTAATAAATACACATATATTTATAATGATTAAGTGAACACACCCTGTTGGTGGTCATGTCTAAAGTGTTTCATATATCATGGAATGTTAATGATAAGTATCGTTTATCTTTACGTTTCTAGATACTCTTGCGTGGAGTAAATGAACGCATTCTACTGATGGTCATCTCTAAAGTGTTTTTTTATATCATGGAATGATAATCATAAGTATCATTTATCTTTACGTTTCTAGTTGCTCTTATGCGGAGTGAGTGAACACACCTTGTTGGTGGTCATGTCTAAAGTGTTTTTTTATATCATGGAATTATAATCATAAGTATCCTTTATCTTTACGTTTCTAGTTGCTCTTATGCGGAGTGAGTGAACACACCCTGTTGGTGGTCATGTCTAAAGTGTTTCATATATCATGGAGAGAGCAAGGTTCAGGTGTTCTGTATCTTAAAGAGTTGGCAGCAGAGTTTGCTGAAGATCCATCAAAAGGTAAGAAAAAACAACAACAAAAGGAGCTTATGTGTAGAGTTTATAGTAAGCACCCTAAAACTTTTTGTCTGATTTCTTTGATTTTAGTAATTTATTACTAAGTTCAAGTTCATTTTATTTCCATTTCTCGTAAAAAAATGCATTTAACAATACACATATAAGCAAATATATAAATATAAATAATACAAAGAATATGGAGGAGCCAGCAGAGGCCATTGGCCTTTCAAAACCTGGGCTCCAGTGTCCTCAGATAATAATACAAAGTAAAGAGAAAAGAAGCAATGGGTAGTAAATAAATAAACAAATGAGTATTGGCTAATTAAATTAAGCATACGATAGGAATTCCTTCATTAAATAGTTCTTGTATTAACGTTTAAATGAGGCAACAGATGGGCACATTTTTATATCGGTAGGTATTGCATTCCAACTGATTACTCCGGAATATTTAACTGATCTACGTAAAGTATGGTATTTTAACAATGGAATACATGTATATAAATCATTAGCATGTCTTGTGTAATGTGGATGAACATCCTTTGTTATTTTGAACATATTATCGAAAATATAAGGTAACATATTCTTATTGTACATATACATAAATGATCCAACTTGCAATTCATGTATTTGAAATATGGTAAGTAAATTTAATTTCAGATTCAGATGGGGTTCTGGGGTGAGAATTTGTAATTGCTCGTAGTGCTCTTTTCTGTAAAACATAAACTTGATTCATTAAAGTTTTTGCACAATGTCCCCATATCAAAGTACAATAGGACAGATGAGGAAGAATGATTGCATTGTAGATATTAATCAATATATTTAGAGGAATAAAGTGTCATATTCTATATAATACACCTATTGCACATGAAATCTTCCGCCGGGTATTATTAATATGTGGAGCCCAAGTAAGATTTTCATCAAGTGTCACTCCAAGAAATACAGTATTAGAAACTTGTAATATATTATAGTTATTAATTTTAATGTCACAGATTTGACCTGAAATTTTTTTGTTTTTCTGCTTGAATATCATATAATTAGTTTTTTTGGAATTTATAAGTAATTTGTTAGCCAAAAACCAGAACTCAATTTTTGGTATTTCTGAAGTAATTATGGTTGATATTTCATTGATGTTTTTACCAGACACAAAGAGGTTTGTGTCATCTGCAAGTATGATTGGGCAAAGGTTTGGGCTTACGTGTTGTATGTCATTAACATATAATAGAAAAATTAATGGTCCTAAAATTGACCCTTGCGGAATACCTCCAGCGAGTGTCAATAATGTGAAGTTAACACCATCTATATAAACAAATTGTTTTCTGTTAAATAAATAGCTATGTATCAATTCTAAAGAAATTCCTCTAATACAGTACCATAAAATTTCAACTTACATGTACGTAACAAAATATCATGATTGATTGAGTCGAATGCCTTTGATAGATCCAAAAATATTCCTAGTCCAATATTCTTATTTTCAAAAGCTGTATTAAGTTGATCAATAAATTCAAGTAGGGCCATAGATGTAGAATGTCCCGGGCGGAAACCAAATTGCTATTGTACAAGATATTGTGTTTACATATATATAAGACATAAGTTTTGCATATATCAATTTTTCAAAAAGTTTATCAAAGACCGAAAGCAGGGACACAGGTCGATAGTTTGTACACAAAGATTTATCTCCCTTTTTAAATATTGGCAAAACTTTAGCAACTTTTAAAGCATCTGGAAAGCATCCTGTTTCTATAGAGGTATCGAAAATATGAGTTAACACTGGAGCAACAATGTGTATACATTGTTTTAAAACTTTGGTGTCTACAGTATATCATCGTAACCTGGGCTTTTGACTTCTTTTAAACTTAACACTGTATTGATTACCTCAGGTTAAAGTATTATGCATATTGTTTGCAACATTCTCACCAACAGAAACAAAATATTCATTAAAAACTCGCAACACTTCTGATGGTTCCTCAATATTTTGTCCATCTTTTGAAAGAGTTGGACAGTCAATTTTCTTTTGTTGTTTTAGAATATTGTTTATAACATGCCATATTTCTTTCAAATCATTTCTTTTACCATAAAATTTCTTTTGATAATAGTCACGTTTTGCACTTCTAATCGCATTATTTACAATATTCCTTTGTTTCTTGTAAACATCTTCTCTTTTTATAAATTTGTGATAAAAAGCATTTTTCTTACGACAAAGCTTCTTTAAATAACAATTGATTGGTAAATTTGTAAATTGTAATAATCATGTTACAAATATTCTAAGCTATTATTAATGGTTCTTCCTTTTAAGTTTGAATTTAAAATATTTGTAAAATGAAAGGTGAAAAATAATTAAGATGATAGACATAAACAAATTCTACTATCCTTACAAGCAACTGGATGACATCTATACATTGTGAAATTGTGAGCCAACCAATTCCTTTGTAGATCTTTAATGGCTAGAAAAAGTAGTAGGGTCTGTATGGGAAAAAAATAAAGATAACACCTAATCAATAATTCATTTGTATTTCTTTTTCAGTATTTGGGAGTATGGAAGACCTAGTGTGTTTGGTGTTGATGGAGGTTCTCACTTTACATTCATCAAGTGGCAATCCATACTCTAATCTACCAGAATCTCAGGGAGCCAGTACATCAAGGTGAGTTGAAGTCTTTCATGCGTCACACACACGAGATATCCCTAGCGCGATACCATATTGCGTACACCGTGTGTTCCGTGCAAAACGCACACTAACTACGTGTATTGTTTCTTGAGCACTACGCATTTACCGCCTGGTTGGAATGCACAAGCCTTGTCCGAAGCCGAGGCTGGGAGTCACTAAGTGGTCGACTGCTTCATCGTAGTGTTTAACATTTTATTTTAAAGATTGCTTCATCCAGATCCATGCCATAATGCGTATCAGTTGTTAGATGTTATGTTATGTTATGTGAGCTAAAGTCAAGACCTCGAGGTCTTCTTGGAGCTGCTAGGCTAGATTATGTCTTCATAGTAACAATTTATGTTTATTTATACACCCTCAGCGGACCTTCCGCACCATCGGCAACAGCCGTTGTTCAACGCGAGGCAGAGATGCTGAATTACCTCGTTCAGTGTGTACAGAGAGCTTCTGGAGAGGAACGATCAGCTTCGGAAGTAAGTACATGTATTGTATTGTATTGTATTGTATTATTTATTCGGCATTTTTAAGAAATATAACAATAAAACAAGATAATCATGGTATAACAACATTAACAAAAAAAAAATCTAATTAAATTAACAACAATGATTATGGTGTCTCACATGTTGCAAATGCATCCACAAATAGAGTGCCACATGCACTTACAATCATTTAAGATGGAACTCACAAAAGGCAGCTGCTCACATGATTCATTGATGTTTATTTACTTACCCATATTTATTATTCATATGGAAACATACAGATGTACCTACATTTAATTTGTTAATTTATGGGTTCAGACTTAGATTTTAGATGCTCATGTATCCCAGGAGCCTGTCAATACCTAGTCTTAGGTTGTGGCTGCCTTTTGGTTTTACCGTTTTAGGTTAGGGTTATTATGTACGTTAGTATAGTGATGGTTTGAAGTGTGAAAGTTCGTTATTGGAGGATATTGATATTGATCTATCGTGTACATTTGTGTGTTTTGTTTGTTTACTTGTTCATTTATTTTTTGTTGTTGTGATTGTTGCATAGGTTTACCGACAGTATCCAGCAATGAGAGAGCTTTTACAGGCGACCAGACATCAAGCTGTATGCCACGCTGCTCTTTTACTACAGGGAGTCTTCACTCAGCCTAGGTACACTTCCAAACAATGTCCCACCCCTTTGCCATCACACTTGATTTATAACTACTGCCACATATCAGTACCATATTTGCTTAATCTTTAAAGCCAGCCAAATGGAATATATTTAATAACTTAATAATCAATCAATTGTAAATTGTTAATTTCAACAGGTTAAATGTAAAAGGACCCTGATATGTAAATTGGTGGGCATATATGGCATTCCTTATGAAGTTGATCATTTCTGTGCTGTGATCTGCATACTGTATATCTATATATAAATCACATCTTAGTTGTTGTTTTTTGTCCAATGGAAAGGACTATAACATCTCAACGTTAAGCTTGAAGGGTTTTCAATTTAACAGGCCTCATTGAGACAGATTTTTCTTTGAGTAGAGTAAATTTGGAAGCTTCTTAGTCAAGTGTTCCGTTTAAGAAAATTGGTACTTTTGGCATATCTGAGGATGACTCAAATCGAGCAAGTATTTTAGACCGTTATTGTCTGCAATTGCGCCTTTAATTTTCCTTTACCTTACTTTAATTTGTTTTTAATTTTCTAATGTGTTTTGCATGATCAGGTCTTCTACTGATCACTCACCATTGTTACCCATGTTAAGTGAGTTCAGTCTGCCAGGAAGCTTCCTTCAAGAGCTTGTATTGCAGAGTTATCCTGATCCACAAGGATTCAAGACTGTAAGTAACCTTGGTCACAGTGAGAACATTGTGATGATGATGATGGTAGTGGTGGTGATGAAAATGATGGTGGTGGTAGTGGTGGTGGTGATGATGAAGATGGAAGTGATGATAATGGTGATTATGATTGAGATGAGAAGATCACTGTGGTGGTTGTGATAATGAAAATGGTGGTGCTGGTGGTGGTGATGATGATGATGATGATGATGATGATGACGATGATCCCAATGGTAGTCACTAGTGGTGATGATGAAGATGACGACAGTGAAGACGATGATGATGGTGATGATGAGGATTATGAATGAGATGAGATAATCCCTGTTAGGTGGTAATGATAAAAATGGGGGTGGTGGTGGTGATGATGACGATGATGATTCAAATGGTAGTCACTAGTAGTGATGATGAAGATGACGACAGTGAAGACGATGATGGTGGTGATGATGATGAGTATGATTGAATTCAGTCTGCCAGCCAGCTTCTAACAAGAGCTTGTATTGCAGAGTTATCATGATCCACAATGATTCAAGACCTAACCATTGTAACAGTGAGATGGCGATGTTACTGGTGATGATGATGATGATGATGATGGTGGAGGTGGTGGTGGTGGTGGTGGTGGTGGTGATGATGATGATGATGATGATGGTGGTGGTGGTGGTGGTGGTGATGATGGTCATACTAAAGAGGAGGAGGGATAGTAGGAGAAGGAGGAGGGCAGATGTTGATGGTGGGAATGATGTAAAATGTAGCATGAACACAAAGGCAATAATATTTGTTACAATTGATGATGATGATGATGATGATGATTTTGGTGATAGTAATAATTTGAATATATAACTGTATATAAATTGTTCAGCAGGCTATCCTATCCTCTTTACATGAAAATGGTGATGTAACAGTGACGAGAGTTGTATCAGTGATAAACAGGAATATTCTTTTCTTCTTTCTCATGTTTAGATCTTCCTTCCTGTCATCATGGGGCTAATACAGAGACTTCAACGAAGCTCCTTATCAACGGATGAATACAGAACACCCCTCATGGTATGATAGTAACCTCAAGGATGAAGGATGATTAAAACCATGTAGATATGCATGACAGAATTACCTGGCATACCATCACCATACAGAAGCCATCACGAGGCCCTTGCCTGCGTGGATGGCATAAGTCAAATAAAAAAAAAACATGTGGAAGCCCGATAGCACGTGGCAAACTAATCTGAAAGTCAGCCAAGAATTGGAAAAAAAGTTATTGTTTTTATCTTTTAGAACAGCAGTCTCTAGTGTAATTCTGTTGCAAGGTAGATCTACCAGTATAACAAAACTTGCTCCAATATCAATCTATGCATTTAGGCAAGATCAATGTGTGATATGTCCAAATAAATTTGTTAATTGGTCTTGGAAGATATGTTAGTCATATGAAGGCTATGGCTACAGAATTGAATGAGCAATTCTAGTCGTATCATGTATCAGTTCCTTTTATTTTATATTGTTTTGTAAATACTTGAAAGAAAATAATTATCTAGGATATGTTCGCATTCTTAAATATTAAGGAATAACAACTTTCTTAATTTTCAGATATTTTGTGCAAAGACTTTTCATAGACCATTCACATTGAGAGAATGCTCTTTTATTAGTTGACTGCCCCAAATAGAGCTCTCAGTTATTTAGGAGTTTTAACACAGTTACACATTGATTGAAAAACACTTCCACACAATGCTGAACCATAGTCAGAAGTTGTTCATTGCAATTTATCCATGTCGGATATTAATCTATGATTGTTTTTGTATTTATTTCAGATTTTAAGTGAACTATGCAGAATAAAAGATGGCAATGCAAGACCTATATGTAGCCTTGTAAGTATTAAATCTCTAAGATCGTTATTGACAGTGACCTATCAGCAATGGACAAATCGGCAGAAATGTCGTAGAAGGAAATGTAAAGTAATTTCTGGAAAAGAGTAATGAGGAAAAAATATTAGAGGAGTAGGAAGAAGAGGAGGACAAACTAGGAGGAGGAGAAGAAGAAGGAGGAGGAGGAGGAGGAGGAGGAAGAGGAGGAGGAGCAGGGGGAGCAGGAGCAGGAGCAGGAGGAGCAGGAGGAGGAGGAGGAGGAGGAATATGAGAAGGAAAAAGGAGGAGAAGGAATCTTATATTTTGTTCTTTTCCTTGTCATCTTTTTAGCTTGCCTCATCCCCTCTGTGGTTACCTGATCCTGTAAGCAGTGCAGCTGGTAGAGAGCTTGAACAACTATCTCTTCTAGGAGCCTGCTTGAGACTTTCTGTGTTTTCTGAAGATGATGTAAGTCATTGAGCCTTGCTCTCTCTCTCTCTCTCTCTCTCTCTATCTCTCTTTCTTCCTCTCTCTCCCTCCCTTTCTCTCTCTCGCTCTGCATTCACAACCTAAGTTCATCACTCCCTTTCAGGACTCCACTCACAAAAGAATATCTCTCTCTCTCTCTCTCCTTATTTTCTCTACTTCTCTCCCGACAATCCCAAGTAGTCCTCCATAAGACAAAACTGCAAGAATACTTTCCCCTCACTCTCCCTCTCTTTACTTTCTATCCCCTTTCATATGGGACAGTCTTTTTCAGGGCTACCCACGTGGTGAACCCAAAAACCTCATGGATGTGACGTAAGTGGTGTCATGTGTCTTATCCAATCAGTGGTGGCATTCACTCAGCAATCATTCAAAAGTGTACAAACTGTCCTGGGACCCATTTCTCAAAGCCTTTTTTCAACGAAAAATGACAAAAATCAGTGACAAATCTGCTGATAACCAATCAGAAGCAAGTATTTCAGTAGCTTATAACAAAAACTGTCATTTGTCACTGATGACAAGTTTTGTGAAACACCCCCCTGGTCCAAGAGAAGGTCACAATGGATGCCTGAACAATGAATATAAATTCAAGATAAATGCATTTCAAGGTTTTTAAAGTCTCTCATGCTGTGTATATCTCTTCTTTACTCCATCACCATGTGTCCTTTAGCAAAATGTGGCATATAAATACGTAGTAGTAATAGAAGTAGTAGTAGTAGTAGTAGTAGTAGTAGCAGAAGTAGTAGTAGTAGTAGTAGTAGTAAGCATAGTAGTAATAGTAGTAGTAGCAGTAGTAGTAGTAGTAGTAGTAGTAGTAGCAATGAGAATAGTAGTAATGATAAAATGATAACAACAATAATAATGACAATAAGAAAGATAGATGAGGGCAATTTCAGCACATTTTTTGCAGATTTTACTTTTAATACCTTAATCTAGTTACAATGCGTATTTGGGATGGATATGTGAACACTAAAATGTTACTACATTTATGATTGATATATATTTCTTTTCTCCACTATTTCAACGTGTACCCTGCAGCAAAAAGTAGCAGACAAATACTTTGCTACAACAACAGACAGCACCAGGCTAGCAACTGATACACTCCAAAGAGTACTAGAGCAAGTCAGGGTAAGATTTATTTGTAAATGGCCTACAATAGTATGAGATGCGAAACCGCAACTAGATCCTAGGCTAGATCAGCCTTCTTGAAACTGTGTCATTACATTGTGCACAACTGCTGAGGTTTTTAGTCATCACCAAAAATGAATTATTTCGCTTTTAGATTGATCATAAAAAGTGTTATTTTTATTTTGTTGACTTGCTGCCAGTTTTGAGTTTGAGTTGTAGATGCACCATCATTAGGTGGTTCATGTACTTGACTTCCAATGAAGAGATCGATCTCTGCCTGATGCATATTTCCCCTTAGACAAGGCATCGTATATCTGCTATTTCTTCTGACCCAGATATTAAAGGGCTACCTGGCAGATTTTGTTCCCTTTCAAATGCACTAGATACACAACAGCTGCCAGAGTGTTAAGTCTGAGTAATAATTTCCAATTAGCTTTGAAGTGCATTTTGTTTTTAAAAAACGTTTGTTTTCCAATTATTATTATTAATATTATTAGTATTATTATTATGATTATTATTGTTTTTATGTGATTGATTGTAGGTGGAACAGCATCACATTGTGCATAGTATGCTGGTGAACAGTGAAACCAGAGAATCAATGCTATCCTTCCTAAGCAATGTATTATCCAGAAACAACAAGAGAGCTCAAATGCAGGTACGAAGCAAGAATTTATTCTATTCAATCCTTATTTTACTGTCCCCCATTCACCCATACCTTCAACAAACCACAGATTTTAAAAGTGAAAGTCAGCTCTGCCCTGTAATACTAAATAGTATGTATGTAGGATGAACCTTGAAGGACATTGATAAGTTCTTTTTTCTTGTTGGTTGTTTGCTAAAATGTCATTTGTTTTAGTCATCCACTGTATAGTCTTCTTCTTTGTCTTTGAGAAATTATTAGAGTTATCAATTTGGAGAAGGAAAAACTGATCATTTGAATAGCCATTTCATAAACTAAAGTCCTTAATTTGTCGTTGTATACATCTTATTGGTTTCATTATTAATGAGTAGCATATCCTTTAGCGTTCCTTTACAATGTACCTCAAATGCATTTTACAGGTTTCATTATTAATGAGTAGCAATTCTTTATTCTACTTCAGGCATTTTGACTGAAAGAAGTTTTGTTTGTTATTATTTATGAGCAAATTTATATTTATATTTATATTGAGTGATACCCATCAGGCTTTTATTCTGTTGCACCTTACAGGTTGATGAGAGCCAGGTCGCTGGGGATGGTTTCATGCTCAACCTCCTAGCCATCTTCCATCGTCTCAGTCAGAAGATACAGCTCAACAAGGTGGATGTACGATACACGCATCACCCTAAGGCTAGGATAGACGTCTCTCAGGAAACTAAGATGAATATGACGGAACAGGAGGCTCAGGAATGGCTTAAAGGAATTAGTGAGTAGAAAAGAAGGGAGAAGGGGGGAGGGAGAGAGGGAGGGAGGAGAAGAGGAGGGGTGTTACAGCTACACCCACCATCTTCAGATGAATATGACAGAACAAGCGGCTAAGGAGTGACTTAAAGGCTTGCTGTAGTGATCGGTAGAGGAGGGGCTTCAAAGGGATATTGGGTTCTTACCAAAATGCATCATTATTAAAATGCATTGTAAAGGAGCCGTTAACCCTATCTTGCCCGGCATTTTTCGCGATAATTTTTCAACGCAAAAAAATCTTGCATTGAAATTTTGTGACTTTTTTCTTTAGAGTCTTGCGCATCTTTTGAAAGAAATTTTTCGAAAATCAGACCTACCATTACAAAGTCACGTGTCCTTTTGTCTTTGCATGTCAGCCCGAAAATCGCTCATTTTTGTGATTTGTGGAAATCTCATTTTTCGAATAATTCAATTCAATTTAGTATTTATTGTCCATTTCTGGATATTTGATTTTCACTGGCGTAACATATACAGATTAACATTTACTAATGTATTTACAAAAATGTAGACATTAACAGTGAATACACAAGGTTTAACATATGATTAAGCACAGATTAACAGAGGATCGAATGTTGTTTTATAAACACTAATTCAGAACAATAGTTAACATAGTAAATGGAGCAGAGCAAGAGGAGGTGTCAGGTGATCAAACGATTTAACAGGTGAGGTAAATATAAATATACTGATATTCTGAGGAGGTTTGGTGTCCAATCTACCCATACATGTATTTTCGTTTTAAACCAATTTGGGAATTATTAATTAGAGTTATTAAAGTACAACACTGGGTCTTTGAGACATTCTGTTGAACATATGGATGGAGTTTGCTATGAATGATTGCCGAGTTCTCACTCGTGCAGACCTGGGCACACACAAACGAAAGCCTGACCTATTGTAATTGTAATTAGTGTGAAGCGGGTGGGTGGGGTCGTTCATGATTCGTTTGACTTTAGCAACTACTCTTTCTTCATACAGTGTGGATACTGCGTGTAGGCTACTGCCAATTATCTGTTGTGCTACTCTCCTCGTACCGTCTAACTTCTTCTTATCTTTTTGAGTTGCATTCCCAAAATAGCATATTATGTTGTATGTAGCTACACTCTCTATCAATGATCTGTAGAATAGAGTCGGAATTGTTTTGTCTACATGCATTTTTCTCATCATTCTCAAGAAGTACATTCTCTGATTGCACTTTTTTCTAAGCAAGGTAACATTTGATGACCAGTCGAGTGAATCAGATACCGTTGTTCCCAAGTACTTATAACTGTCAACTCTTTCCACAGCCGACCCCTGAATAGTAAGCGGTGGTCTTGCTCGTGGACTTCTCCGAAAATCTATAATCATTTCCTTTGTCTTCGAGACATTCAACTTGAGATAGTGTCGTTCACACCACTGTACAAATCTGTTTACACAGGTGGCATAATCTTGTTCACTTCTGGTGTCTGACATAAAGCCTGAGATTACAGTATCATCTGCATACTTAATCATTTGACATGTTGGTGATGTGCTTATACAATTACTGGTATACATGTAGATAGAAAATAATACTGGAGAGAGGACACAGCCCTGAGGGGCTCCTATGCTGATGAGTTTCACTTTAGAGTTTACATTTCTCAAGTGAACATATTGTTCTCTTTCATTTAGGAAATCCTGTATCCATAAAATGAGGGTAGGGTGTGCTTTTATCTCAATTAGTTTCTTAATCAGTATGTGCGGTACAATTGTGTTGAATGCACTTGAGAAATCGACAAACAAACATCTTACAGAATTACCAACGTGGTCCATGTGATTATATATATTATGGAGAAATGTCAAAATTGCATCGTCTACACCTCTACCTTCCCTATAAGCAAACTGCAACACATCTATCTGATCCCCAACTTGCCTCATGAGGTGTTTCAACACAATCTTCTCTAAACATTTCATTACGCTACATGTAAGGGATATGGGTCTGAAATCATTCATTTCTTTCGTTTGTTTACCTTTTGGGATAGGGATAATTATTGAGCGCTTCCATAACTGGGGGATTATTCCTAGACTTAGAGATTTCTCAAATATTTTAGTAAACACTGGGGCCAACTGATCCTTACATACTTTCAGAATTTGGTTACCTATTCCGTCTGGTCCGGGCGACTTGTGTGTTTGTAAGCTTGCAAACATTCGTCTAACATCATGCTCATGTATTTGGATAGGTACTCTGAATGGAATTTCGTCTATTACCTTACATTTCATTTCTTCGTTTTCAATAGAGAAATTTTCTACATCAAATCGGCAATAAAAGTCGTTGAGTTCGTTAACAAATTCACTATCTCGATCAACTACCACAGGTTTAAATTTATCTTTATTGTAACCAGTAATATCCTGCATTGTTTTCCATGCCATCCTGGGATTGTTTTCACGGAAGTTCTGTTCAATCTTTTCCTTGTAGGAATGTTTACATTTTTCCGTCTGACGCTTGATTTTTCTTTGGATATTCTTTAGTGACTCAGAGTTTCCAGCTGAGAGTGCTGCTCCCTTCTCTCTGAGCAGATCGCGAAGCTCTTTATTCACCCACGGCTTGTTGTTAGGGTACACTTTAACGAGTCTGTGTGGGATTGTCAGTTCAATGCAGAACTTGACGTAGTCGGAGACAATAGTTGCTTCTTCGTCCAGAGAGTTCGCGGAGTTGATTAACAAGTCCCAGTCGGTGCAGTCTAGGCATGGGCGTAACGCCTCGTTGGTTTCTGGGGTCCAAGCGTATCGTTGCCTAGTGACGGGCTTGCTACGTTTCAGTTTCTGTTTATATGCCGGTATCAGCTGTATGTTCCGATGGTCTGATCGGCCTAGTTGATGACACGCCCTGGACTCGTATGTGTTTGAAATATTTCCGTAACACAGGTCTAGGGTGGCATCCCCTCTTGTAGGAATTTTAATGTTTTGTTCGTAATCTGGTAGGGAGTTTTCTAGCCGCAACTGGTTAAAGTCGCCCAAGATGAAAATTGGGGCGTCAGGGGCAGCTGCCTCTAAACGATGCGTGTTCTCAGTTAGGATTTCACTGGCAGTGGTTAAGTCTGCCCGAGGATGTACGTAGCAAACTGTTACAAATATCTGGGGAAACTCTCGGGGGAGATAAAACGGTCTTAGTCCCACTGAGATTAGCTCTATGTCTGGTTTACAAGTCACATCTTTCACCGTCCAATTTTGACACCATTTTGAGTTTATGTATAGGCATACACCTCCTCCCCTCGTCTTTCCGGACTCTCTCGTTCTGTCCCCTCTGACCAATTCAAAATATGGAATATGTAGAGCACTGTCTGGTATCGAGTCATTTAGCCAAGTTTCACTAAATCCCATGAGACATGTTTCTCTGTATTCATGCATATATCTTGTAAGGGTTTCTAGTTCATCTATCTTGTTAGCAAGGGATCGCACATTGCCGATAATCATACTAGGTAGGGCTGGTTTCGTACCCCTCTTTCTTGAGCGTACCCTGAGTCCCCCTCGCTTACCTCTCTTACGCGGTTTTACTTCATGGCAAAATCCATCAAAGCCTTGTGGTCGTGCTGTTGCCGGGGAAGTGTCGCGTAGGCGAAGGAGCTCAGTTCGACTATAAATCAATCTTCTATGCTGAGGGAAAGCTTCTATAGCAGAAGTTATCCAGAATCCGTTCAGGAAAACTAAAAGCATCAGGAACCCAGCCAGAACAAATCTTGTTTTTAGGAACGACATAATGGCTGAATGTAATTAACAAAAATCCTCCAAAAAGAATGAAATTATGGGTAATTCCAACAGAAACACCAGTGAAGGTCGCCACAGTGCGGCGCCCTAATGATAGTGATAAAGAGATAAAACATTGGTTATTTGGTCTTGTTTATAGTTTAGGGGTTTATTTTGGGGTCAAAATAGTTGAATTATAGTTGGAAATGAAATAAAACAACAAAAACAATAAAATACATAAGTTAAAAAAACAATGCAATACATAAGAAATTATCAAAACAATAGATAACATAAGGAATAACCTGGCTCTTCCAATATTTTTGGCTGTATTATTATCCCAAATGGTCTAAATAATATATGTAGTGAAAATTAATGTTTAACCCTTACTGTACTGGGCTATTTTGAGCACCTCCTGACTGGGGGGGGGGGGGGGGGGGCCTGGGAGGCCCCCCCCCCCCTATGATCTCGGCCGTCGGATGTCCGATGAACACGAAAATTTGCATGTTTGTAGATATTTACGTAACGAACAAGATGGTGTTATTAGTTTTTTGCGAATATGCACATTTTTGTCGTTATAGCCTAATTAATTATGCAAAATGCTAATTTTATGCATTTTACAGAAAACGTGTCAAACTTCACTTTTTGAACGTTGAAACTCATTATTCATATGAAACTTCTTTTCTAACACAAAATATTTATTTGGATGTAATTAATAATGATAATTTATGCAAATTTGATGCGATTTTCAAATATTTATTTTCTTATGTATTTTATTGTTTTTTTTATTTCTTATTATATCTATTGTTTTTATTTCTTATGTATTCTTTTGTTCTGGAATACATCAAGTTACTTTGAGAAACATATAAAAGCAATTCGATATCAATTTATATCACCCACTTAGGAAGGAATACATCTAAACCTGTATTCACATTTCTGCTTGTACATGAATATATGCAATTATAGCATATTTTTGATGACATGCGCATACTAATTGTTATGTAACACTTCACGGGTATATCCGATTGCGACGAAAATGGTATCAAAACGTGCGTAAGACTTGAGGGAAAAAAGTCATGAAACGACAATTCAAAATTTCAAGCGGTTGCGGCTCAATCTCCGAAAATGTCGAGGGGGGGGGGCCTCCCAGGCCCCCCTCCCCCAGTACAGTAAGGGTTAAATATGAAGAATATATGATTTATGGATAAAAATGTGAATGTTATTACCATATTTGCATAAATTACCATAAATATGCAAATTAGTGAATTTTTCAAAAAAATTGAAATTACCATAGTATTCTATTTCACTTCACTTGACATGCATGCAAATTTTTGCGGCGATCGGATGTTTCACGGCCGAGATCATAGGGGGATGGGGCCTTAGAAGCCCTATGCAGTTTCAAAATAGCCCGGGCTAAATAATTGTAATTGAGATGCTTCTGTAAAAGTGTTTTCAATTTTAATCCTCGACCTCTCTTATCCCACTGAGCAGTTGCCAGTAAGTCATTCCCTCCAAGTTAGTATGGTTTTCCCAAATATACAATTACCGAGATTTTTTTAAAGTATTGCTTTTCAATAGGTTCCTCACGTTCTACTAAATCTATCATATGGATTGAGAATCATTGAGACGTCCTCATATATACTACATGTATTGTATATATATATTTATTTTATATGTACATCTATATTTTTTGTAAAATGTGGAACAAATAAACTTGAAACCCTTGATTCTTTCAGAGCCAGAGACCTGGGTGGAGCCCAAGTTCCCAACAGAGTGTTACTTCATGACCCTCCACTGCCAGCACCTTGCCCTGCTGCCGGCCTGCAGGCACTACTCCCAGCGGATCAGGACCTTGAGGGAGCTCTCCAGGCTAACAGATGATCTTCAGAACCAGGAGCCACAGTGGAAGGGGACTCCCCTGGAGCGCAGGAACAGACAGCTCCTGGAGCGATGGAAGTCACAGACAAAGGTCAGTTAAAGGGCAAGACTGGTCAGGCTGTTATCAAAGAAGCTGAAAAATCGGACACATTGGCCCAAATTCACAAAGGAGGTTTGTCGACAAACCTAGGTTTATATGTGTCATTTCGAAGCGTTTCAGACCAAGGTCTGATAGCAGTAACCAATAAGTTTGCGCAAAATAGGACAACTATTAAGAAAATTGATATATTAACATGCCATGGAACACTCATCCCCTCTCGTTCAGTCACACCACACCACATCCATAGAATAATTACCAAGATAATATGATTCGATTTTAAGGAAATTATGGGTTTTCCCGAAATCAATTATGAGGTGATCATGAGGTTAGTTGATATGTATGTAGCCTATGAATCATTTTAGTCAAAGTTTGAATGCCAGCCACCCATCTATAACCTTTGTCATTCGTCACCCAAGTTAAGTAATTGGGTAACTCAGAGCTGCCAAATAGTACGAATTTCCCGTAATTTTAGATTCATAGCACCGCTTAGGAAATTATTGATTTATTCCCAAAATTACTGATTTTGAGCCTTGTGATTACCAAGTTTCTGTTCTGGAGGTTGGAAGCTCTGGACTAACTTGGTTTGGATATTTTTTTTTTTTTGCTTGGCATGTACATTGGTCAGCACTTTGTTTCTTCTGGAAACAGTGCTATATAAATAGAGTTACTACTATCTCCATACACAGTTATCTGTGCATGTCCCTACATGTGTTTGTTTTTACTTCTCTTTTCTCTAAACAGAAAATTGAGAAGGCTAAAGTGTGTGCTGACGCTGGTCTCCTCCATGAGAACCTACTCAGAGGCTGCTTCCAGTTTTATGGCACTGTCATGTCTCTTCTAGTCGGACTCGTCAGTCCTAAGGGACCAGCGTAAGTGTCTGTTTGGGGTATTATATATATATATATATATATATATATATATATATATGTATACATGATGTAGAAGAATATTCAAGAACCAATTAAAAGAAATTGATTATGAATGATTTAGAGGCTGCTTCCAATTCTGTGACACTGTCATGTATCTACTAGGGGGACTCGTCAGTCTGAGGGACTAGATTTGAAAGCATGATAATGATTTTCTAAAAATCAAAAACTTTTCTATGATATAACCTCCCACTGCTATCTTTTGAGTCATGTCAGAAAGAATGAGTTTATTGCTCTAATAGTGATATTGATACCCTGAGGAATAATTATTCTAGAAGACCACACAATATATGTGCATTTCATCATTTCTGAGTTCACTTTAATCTTGCCCTCAATCTTCTTACAGCCTGCCATTACATACAGACATTCCACCAGCTTTTGCTGCCCTGCCAGAATACTACATTGAAGACATCGCTGAGTTTCTTCTATTTGTCGTTCAGTAAGTCTGCTATTCATTCAAAATTTAATATTTGTTTAAGCCGTGATTTATGGAATAACTACAAATCAGATGAACATCTTCAACGGTTTCGGTGCGATGTTGGTCAATTTGTACATATGACTGCTTCATGAAGTTTCCCGCTTCACAAAATATGTTTTTATCAGTGTATATATCACTGCTTCTGCCTAACAAGCTGGTGACAGAGTATTACATTCAGCTGTTAAGACTTGTTCTCATCCAGTTGTCAAACGTTATATTTAATTTATTTATTTCAATAAATTTTGCTCAAATATTGATCACGTACATACAACATCTTTTCTAATGTTCTTTCACCAGACACATGCCTCAGATCTTAGAGGACACTGCCCAACATGACATGGTACCGTTCCTTCTCACTTTCATGTGCTCAGGCCAATATCTCAAGAATCCTTACCTCGTTGCAAAGCTTGTCGAGGTAAATATGGATCTTCTTGTTCCCTGCTGTTTACATCAATGAAATGTGATTTTATTTTTTTTTGTTAATGCTAAGTTCACAGATAGATGCCAGCTTGGGTTTTTAATATCTTAGACGTCGTGGTCTGACTGACTGTTTGTAACCCTGTTGATGATGATGATTCTGCAGAGTGTTCTGTCTTGAGCCATACAATGGGCTGAGAAGAGTGATAGACCTGGTGGGGGGGGGGGGATATATGTACCTAATCGTAGTCATCACTCGAAAAGTGGTATTCTATTTGTACCAAGTCTGATAGAAATCATATGAGAGAAATCGTATATCTCTAGTTTCATCCAGTTTATAAATAGCAACACCCAACACAATAGTAACACACCTTTAGTAGATTCAATCGATGACTATCACAGAATGTTCTTGCTTTCCTCAGCTTTTGTTTGCAATAATGCAAGAATTTTTCAGCATTTCATAGAGTTTTTGGAGAGACTGGTAGGCCTGTTTCCTACTCATTAACTCTTTACCTGCTTTGCTCGACTAATGAGACAAAATAGGGATTGCCGCAGTCAACCTTTGTCACAGGACAATGTATGTACATCATTATATTTCAACAATGTGACAATGTAGGAATATCAATTGATGCAAAGCGTATTAAAAGAGTCAATTATAAGTTCTAAGTATCTACTCTCATTACTTGTAGGTATTCTTTGTGCTGAGTCCAGCCGTCCAGCCCAAAACTGCCAAACTCTTTGAGGCTATTCAACTCCACTCACTCGCCATTCCGCATCTTGTTCCTGCACTCATGAGATTCTACACAGGTAAGCCCCAAGCATGTAACTTTGTGTGGGAGATGAAACTGTGTATAAAATATGACAGGTCTGCCCCACATATGTTGAATTATGTTAGAGGGGTTAAATTTACCGACGGGTCAGTCCCACATATGTTGATTTGTGTTAGAGGTATCACAGGACAGGTCAGTCCCACATATGTTGATTTGTGTAAGAGGGGTTGCAGTACAGGTCAGCCCCACCTATAGTAAGTTGTGTTAGAGGGGTTACAGCACAGGTCAGTCCCACACATGTTCATTCTTGTTGGAGGGGAAATGATGCATAGTTTCTTTGACAGGTTCCATGTGTTCATGTGTTTGACAGGAAATAGAGTCTTATCCTTAGTAAGTCTGTCTAATGTTGACTAGATTGCTGGAGGGGCAGGAAGATTTAGCATTGTCCTTTCAAGTCAGCCCCACATTCTCTGGTGTCTGATAAGATCTACAGGGCAATGCAACTCATCATCTTTTGAGCAAAAATGACGCCTGGCTGGAATGCTCCCCAGGGAGTGGAGAATGTGCATACATTGTATGCAAGTAAGCCTGAATCAAATGACCGGGGTAATAATATATATATGTATGTAAAGCGCTTTGAGAAGGCCTTCGGTCTTGAAAAGTGCTTTATAAGAACTAGCTATTATTATTATTATTTTTATTAACTCACAAAGATCTCAAATCTTTAGAAAAAAATCTTTATTATTGTCCAACTCCACCCTTTTCATGTTAGACTATTATGAATTTGTTTGAGTGTCGTGTGTATAGTTACAACACACCATTTATCTTTGACCCTGCAGATATAGAGACAACGGGAGCAAGCAGTGAGTTCTACGATAAGTTCAGTATCCGCTACCATATCAGTATCATCTTCAAAGCACTTTGGAAGATTCCTCTACACCAAGGTGTCTTTGTTAAAACCAGCGAGTAAGTCTTTCATCTTCCTTTTCACAGTAAAAAATGTATGCAAAAGCAACCCTGTAAGAATGATTTCAATGCAGGAAGTGGCTTAAATTGCCCAGACTTGAAATATAAATTGTATCAAATGCTTGTGGATCTTTCTATATGAAATTCAAGACTTCTAGACAAAGAACATTTAACTTCTGTTTGAAATTCAATACTTCTGGACAAAGAAAACTTTTTTCTTGTAAAATTTGAAAGTGGACTCATGACCACACAAATGAAAATCTAATGTGTCATTCATGTACATGTTTGCAAACATGGTGCTGCTGGAAGGTTCACCTTTATCTAAAGCAATTGAGCAAATTTGAAAATCAATGTGTTCTATTTTAACACTTTGGTTGCTTTCCTAGCCTCTCTGCACGTTTGTTTGCCACATGTGCAATTTTGTGCAAAATTATAAACACCAATTGATGGAAGGATTGCTTTGTGCAACAAAATGGCTTTGCAAATGTTCCCATTTCTGGTCTTGATTACTTTTACCATGTGTTTAGATTAATCTTGCACTGGATACAGTTAAATAATCTTGAAGCCTTTGGTATTTCCCAGGATAAATACAATGTGTGGCACAGGGAGATTACCAGTATGTGTGTGGCATCTTACGAGGTAATGACATCATAAAGTGAAGCTTGCATATTTACCAAGATTTTATTGTATTTATCTGTTACTTTTCAGGATCCAGGATTCCAACTTTGTGCGCTTCATCAACATGCTGATGAATGACACCACGTTCCTTCTAGATGAGAGCATTGGTTGCCTGAAACGCATCCATGAGGTCCAAGAAGCTATGAAGGATCAACAGAAATGGAGAGAAATTTCTCAGGTAACTCATGCTTGGGTCAGACCTATTAATATTAATAATCTGGATTAATATAGTGCTTAATACGGAATACCGAATCTCTAAGCACTTTTACAGATATTATTACTCCGGTCATCGGATTCATTCACGCACAATGTGCATCTCCACTCCCTGGGGAGTATTCCTACCATATGGTCACAGTAAAGGCATAGACGATTACTAACATAAATGCTTTTGTCATCCTACCTGGTCCCCAATTCTCTCTGGGGTATTGAGTGGCAAATGAAGATTAATGCCTTGCCAAAGGACATTAGTGCCATGTCTGGGATCAAACCTTGACTTTTGAAATTCAAGTCAAGTGCTTAAACCACTTGAACACCACAGTCTGGCTCCAGTCAGATTTGGAAAGAATTCACCCTAGCATTTGATATGAACATTCAAACATGTAACATTTATTACAATGAACAAGGATCTGAATAATCACATGACTGATAAAATCAAATTTTCAAGGTGTTTCATGTTAAATCGGCTCAGAATCGCTGTGACATCAGACCAGTAGTGCGATTGTCTCTTATGTACATAGTTGCGATTGATATCAACTCTTTGTAATACAGGGCCCAGTAGTGCGATTGTCTATGTAGTGTTGGTTGTGTGCAACTGTACGGTTGCTCCCAAAACAGCTCTCTTCAAGTATAAAGATTTAGTGGATATTAGAGTTTGTCTCTCTTATCGGTTACTGTTGTTAATATTGTAGTCAGGCATCTTCTAGACAAATTTGTGGATTGTTGATGTTGGATCTTGCTAAAATTTGAAGCTGAGTTATTGTGAAGCATCGCCAGTTGATTTGTACAAAGTCTACCATTTTGACTAGGTTTAAAAAAGACTACTTATTAATTTGAAAGTGTATTACAAAATTGCATATGACATTTAGAAAATGGTAACAACACATTTTACTATTTAAACATTTTAATTGCATAATTAAAACATGTATTATTTCATGATTGTTTGAAATTAGTTGTTTAGTTCATTAGAATCAGTAATTAATATAAAAAAAGATCGCTATAAGTATTGATTTCTTTATTCTTGTATGTATTTATAATTTGTTAACTGAATTGTATGAGTCTCCGGACTTTTTATTCGGTATGTTTTTATTTACAATAAACCAGAATTGAATATAATTTCTAGCCAATTCAGCTTTTATTCTGACTAGAAGATTTAAATGCACTAAAATTGGATGTTGATATTCATATCATTATTTAGGACCCAAATCAGGAAGATGATGCTAATTTCCTTTTCCATATCTACTATAATGACTGTTTCTTTCAAAATCAAATCACAGGAGGATGGTATAGAGTGATAGGCTTTATTGAGATCGATTTGACCTTATTCATTATAATTGTACATGTTTGACCCGCACTGACCCAGTTAATCACTGACCTCTACCTCTACCTCAGTGCAGACCATCACGTCCGCTCATTTACGTGCAGTTGTCCAAAAGAAGACGTAGATAGCGTCAACCATTATTTCCCATGCTACAGCCCCTTTTACATCTAAGGTCTCTTCTTATAACTCAGTTTTCTTTCTCTCTCTCCCTCTTCCTGTCTGTTGTAGGAGGAGCAACAGAGCAGATCTCGTCAGCTCTCTTCAGACCAGCGTCAATGTCGGTCCTACCTCACGCTTGCCAACGAGACCCTAGAGATGTTCAACTACCTCACTATACATATCAAGAAACCCTTCCTAAGACCAGTAAGTCAATTAACAACTACAAAATAATAATAATGATAATAATGATTGGATTTATATAGCACCTTTTCCAAAGGATACAAGGCGCTGCTCTCTTAGGCTATCAACAATTTAAGAGAATTTGTACAGGTAAGTAAAATATATTGCCTCTTACAACGACCAATCAGCAGACAATATCGTGCTCTCTGAGTTCCTTTGACAGTATACTGGATTCATTTATCAACTTGCATGATACTAGAGTGTACAGGCATATTTGAAGATCGGGTGCTGAAATTACAGAAGTAAAAGCAGCTTGTGAATAGACTATTTGATGAACCTGTTTGAGATTATGGTCCATCTCTTGATCACTGAATTATAGTCACCTGTTGCATTAACCCTGGTGCATTTGAGTGATGGATACTTATACAGGATAATATGAATGTGTGTGTTGAACGAAAGTGATATTTGCTTTCAATGCCATGTTTGGTACTGTCCTATGACAAAATTCAGATCATTTATTCTTCCCTGATTTGTGCAATCTTATCGTCTTTTCTTTGGTCAGTCTCCCTTTCTTATCCCTCTAAATATGCAGCCCATCTTAATAACTTGCTCTCTTGTATATTTGTTACACATCATAACCATCTGAGCCAGCTGCTTTCTCTTATCCAGATCCTTACATGTAAAACATTTCTATTCTCTTAAAGGTAAAGACTAGTTTTGGAAATGCCCCCCTCTCAAAAAATGAAATGGAAGCTCTTATTACCAATCATGTGAAAAAATATGTTTTGACTAATACGTGACCATACAAATTTTGTCGAGAAACCGCCCACTAATTGATATATTTGGTACATTATTATATCTATTTGGACCTAATAGATATAACGAACGTGTCGCGTAGTCCAAATACATCTTTCTCTGTACAGTACTTGTAACTTTACCAAAACCAGGCCAAATTTCTTATCATTTTGATGATTCCAGAACCTTGCAGTACAATACTTAAATGCTAGATGATCCACCTTATCTGATCAATTACTCAACGTTTCTTTCACAATGCAATGGCATGACCATAACTGGTCTTTATCTCTTAACATCTCTCTGCCCAGGAGCTATGCAGTCGTCTGGCGGTCATGCTGAACTCTAACCTCCAGCAGCTCTGTGGCCCAAGGTGCAATGATCTTCGTGTCGAGAACCGTGAGAAGTACGGGTTTGAACCACGTAAGATGCTTGACCAACTGACCACTATCTATCTCAACCTGGACAGCAAAGAACTCATCGAGGGTATCGCAGCCGATGAGGTCAGTTGAAGAATGGGTAGCAATATCCTGGGATCTTTTTATTCATTGTCACATTAACAATTTCAAACTCGATTTATTTTGAACAGGGCATATCATGTATTAGCCATGACAACAAAATCATAATTTCTCTTTTGGAGGGGGGGGGGGTAGTTGAAGAAGGACATGTTGGTATTTTCCATTCCATTTTATTTCTTATCTACCAAATCACATGAGAAATGAATGGAGATATGAATATTAATGTAAGGTACAAAGGACAGGAATATTCACGTATTTAGGGGTAAGGATATGTACGGTTGCAAGTGGTTTATTAAAAGTGTCTATGTGGAGTTATGAATATTAGCCCGCTGAATTTCATTCCAATTTAAAAGTTCCAGATGTACCGTAACCAAAATGTTAAGAATGAATACGTCTTCTAACGCATCGGTATCCGCCAGCTCAGGCACACTTGGCACGGGTCTAAACAAAGTAATACATACATCTGGGTCAATCAATAATCAATTTACATATTTATGTTTAGTTCTCCTAATTAAAGAGTTGTGTTTAGAGACCTTTTTTTTTTAAGATTAAAATGTCAGATTTGAAATCCCATCTAATGGATATATGATATTTTATGTTATTCCCACAGCGTTCTTTCTGCCAGGACATCTTTGCTGAAGCCATCCGCATCATGAACCGCAACAAGATCAAGACCTCGTCTCAGATCCAGCAGTTTTCTGATCTATCTCTGAGGGCTCATAAGATAGCTGAGATGAATCGACAGACTGATCTAGACCTAGAGGATGCCCCTGACGAATTCAGAGGTGAGTCGTCTTAACCTTTAGCAGTTTTTCTACAGATCTATATGAATTTACAGGAATTTATTTGGATTCTCCACTCTTTCATGGTTAAATTATTGACATTGATTGGTTTATTCTTGAATTCTCTGAGTTAATTTTGCATTTCTGGTGATAAAATTCCATTTCAAGAAAAATTGCTTGAAAGTAATTATGAAATGTTTGTCATACATAACCAGAGATATAACCAGAGAAATTGTAGCTAAACTAAAGTGCTAACTGTTATACAATTCTGAACGAATGACGGCTCTTGTTTCCATTTCTGGATATCTTGTGAAGAAGCTCTTACCGGTAATAGCACTAGTACTGTACATGATGGATTTATTATGTTCCATGTTTTGTTTGACATCACTTTGGACGAGGAGGTTTCATTTGGAAAGAAGACTCATTCTGTTTCTATGCATGTAGCAGTTCTCTTATCGACTGTTAAGAGCCAGAAAGGTTAAAGATAAAGTTGAGTTATGGTCATGCGATTGCGCGTGAAAGAAACGGTGTGGAATCAAGAAAAGGTTGATCATCTATAGCATATAAGTATTGGTGTGTACTGCAAGGTTCTTGAATCATCAAAATGATAAGGAATTTGGCCCAGTCTTGGTTAAGTATTAAACAAGCACTGTACACAGAAAGATATATATGGGACTACACGAACATGTGGCGTAAAAATCTGTCCCCAATTTTTATACTGTTACATGCCATATTTAGAATATTAAGGCATTTGAAGAGCCATGCTTTTCAGGGCACATTTTTAATCTGATGTTCTTTCACACTTACATAATAACAATGATAACGCTCACAAATTATTGTTCACCTCTTCCCAGAACTCAACCTTCTCTTTAAAGGTTAACTCTGTGTAAAAAGATTTGACTTGCCACCCTTCTGTTCGTAGACAGATGATATAATACAGTTTTGAGTCACCTTTCTCTCTTTTTCCTGTCATCATTGCAGATCCACTAATGGCAACATTGATGGATGACCCAGTGATCCTCCCATCAGGCAACGTCATGGACCGTTCAGTTATAGAGCGCCATCTGTTGAACTCCCAGACAGATCCATTCAACCGTAGCGCCCTTAATAGTGAGATGCTCCAACCAGGTAAGAAGTAAAGCAATTTTGATATGAACTTACAGACTTTCAACTTTCAGGTTGCAGACCTTGCAGGAGACTCTAGTAGAATACATGAGAAATGCTGAAGCCATGAGGCTGCATGCATGCTACCGTTATAGTGCTTTGTACATGCAAGCTAACCATTGATTCACTGCCATGTGCGTGCAAGGGCGCATACGTAATAGCAGTTATTGTTCATGCTCATTGGACTGTGCTGTGTGTTTCATAGAACCATCGCATTAATCAGATTTTCTCCAAAACAACCTGGCATGTGGGGTTTGGGGTTTGGGGCTTGGCACAATGGGGATTAGCCCTGTGGCATGATCAGAGTTAAAGGTCGGCTGTACTAGTTCAGCCAGAAAGAATTAGACCACACAGCGAGGTCACTGACAGTTAGTTTTCTCATTAACTCAGCTCTCAATTAACATAAGAAAAAGAGGATCATGGGGGACCAACAGGCACCGATTGGGGAAGTTTTCTATATAGAGGGAGCAAGTAGCTACAAGTAGTACAGTGTGGCTTTAAGAGGAAGAGCCATAAGGGGAATGAAACGTTCAACCCCACAGTGTGTGAAAAAACGGACACTAAATGATGATGATGATGATAATCTTAGTGGATAATTAGTCATTTTCATGGGGTTGGACGTCTGGAAAAATCATGTATTTCATTTAGTCAAGATAAGTCCTTACTTTGTATACTGTATACTGTAAAACCAGAGAATTTCACTTGCAAGAAACCTATGTAAACCTAATGTACACAAACTTCTCATTGGTCCAGTTTCACTAAGTTTCATGCAGCGAAATAAATAGTTATTTTTATATTTTTATTTATTAATTTGTTATTAACAAAAGTATTGCAACAAAAACAAGAGACGTTCTAGATGGTTTGTCCCGCATTAATGTTTATTACATTGAAATCCACTTGAGCAGCCACTTGTGCAGAAAGACAAACTGTCTGTAAAGAGAAATTCTTTAGTTTCCCTAAATATCCTTTATCATTGATACCTGAAATATAGAAACCTGTACATTAAGACCATCTGCTTGTAAAGACCACATTTCTTGTCTCTCTTGAGTGATCTTTATATACAGGTATCACTGTTTTGTAATCATGATTTTCCCTCCTTCCCTCTATCATTCCAACAGCCACTGAACTGAAACAGAGGATACAAGAATGGATCCATAACAAGATGAAGAAAGAGTGATGATCTAGTGAGAGTCAGACCAGGGGAGTGTTTCACAAAGACTAAGATTAACTTAAGTTGGACTTAACTATGGCAGGCCGATCATGCCACTAGTTCCTCTAACCATTCCTGGGATTGATTTCTCAAGGGACGTACACATCGTGGTCACAAATCTACAGAATTTACCTTTTTTGATAGTTCATCATTGAAGGAAAAAATATTATCTCAAGATCATAATTGAGAGAACATTGGTGAGAGCAGCCAGTGGCATGAACGGCCTGCCATAGTTAAGTCCCAACTTGGCGTCAATCTTAGTCTTTGTGAAACACCCCCCAGAAGTCCTACAACTCTCTCAAGCATCAAGCAATGACAGATGATGTAAACATAGCCCATTTTCTGCTTAAGCATTGGTCAGCTTTGCAGGCCTCATGAAAATATAGTGCAAAATGAATAGAACATTACTTCAGATGTTTAAATCGAATCCCTTGGGGTATTTTAAAAGCAAAGTAAAGTGAGGTGAGAATAGGCATTGTAAAAACTGCTATTTATTTGTGCTGGAACATTTGCAAATCTTGCAGGTGAGGTCCCATGACAAGATAATGCAAGATGAAAAGAACAAACACACACATAAAAGATAATTTATTTGCGTTTTTTAAATCACTTGGCCCAGCTTGGTCCCAAACTGCCAATTGCTATTTAGAATTCTGCATTTCATAAGACTCCAGTCTGCAGGGTCTATTTCTCACGTTTGGTTAATAATGTATACAAAATTCATTCAAAACTCTCAAACCATTGAATGAAAACATTCACAAAGCTCTTTGTTTACATGTACATTGGTCATACGAATTAACTACATAATAAAACAATCTGATAATGCTAGGCTTAATAAACACCCTCCTGGCACTTAGGTATAAGGATATTTTTTGCCAAGTGCCAGAAGGGTGTTTACTAAGCCTAGTGTTAACACAGTGTTAACACCTCTCTGCCGCTCCACGGACAGTATGCTTGCAAAACCAGGAACATTCACATGCATTCAAGTTTTCCAAATTTTTCAAGTTCTCAAGATTTGTGAAAGTCTCGTGCTGCGAAACAGTAGTCCCTATCGATTTCTTGGTTCTAGTCCAACAACATAATCCTGCAGACTCTTTGCTATTAATGCTCTGTGTTTTAACTTTGTGGCTGCCTAAGTTATTTTTGTTCGTCCTGGATCCATACAGTTGTAACCTTTCCTGTATTTTTGTTTTTCCATATTTTAGTCTCAGTTTTAAAAGAAAGGAGATAGTTCAAAGAAGGAGATAAGTATGATGTTTTCTAGTCTCTATGCAACAGTGCAATTGTAACTTTCACCAAAGAAGGGAGAAAGTATTTAGTAAAGAAGATAATTTCTTGTATGCATCTTAAAAAGCCCTGATCTGATGTTAATATTGTATACCTTATAAAATGTTTGATTAATCCCCAAGAATGAGTGATATTAGTCCTGTTTCCAATGTAAATAAAATCATAATGTGCTGGGGGTGGAATTCTGATGGAGTTGCTGAAAGTTTGTGGTACCAGAATTGTAAATAAGAATTTCAAAAAGTAAAAAGTCTATGAGCTGGGAAGCTATGCATCGTTGCAGTCAATTTCTGTCCAATTCCATTCTTGGATATAGAATAAAATGAAAACTCTTTCAACATGGCTTTGTATACATTCAGAATCATTTGGCATTCAATATAATTGGCTAACGAAAGAAGAAACAGTAAAACTCTCTAACATAATATGTCTTAGGATTTCTGATATATATTGTACAAATGATTTAATAACTCCACGTGTGATTACTTTTATTTATGTAATTGAGGGAATTTAGGCCACAACTGAAACTTGCAATCATTGCTCCTTGATGGGATTTTGTTTAATGTGAGAGCAGTGGTCTTGGCAGAGCTGCCAACTAGTACGGATTTTCCGTAATTGGTACGGAAATTAACGACCATTACGGAATGTTGTCTCAAATTACGGATTTAAAAAAAAAAAAAAAAAAAAAGTTTTTTTTTTTTTTTTTTTTTTTTTAATGAATTAAATATGATTTATCGTAGCGAGTGCTGTGAATAGGAGCCATTTTTCATGATAAACTGTGTTGTGATGACCTGAAATTCAATACTTAACATCTTTGTGTGAGTAAAATCACCAAAAATTTCAGATAATCATGCGTCCGCGCAGTGTTGGCGTGTCGTTTTTTTAGATTCATAGCGCCGCATAAGAAATTACTGATTTATACCCCAAATTACTGATTTTGAGCCTTGTGATTACTGATTTTCTGTTCTGGAGGTTGGCAGCTCTGTCTTGGGGTATGCTAGATACCATATTGCAAAAGCTGTCTTCTGTCATCTCAATTGGGAATGGAACACTTAAAGCCCCCCCCCCCCCCCCCCCCTCAACTTACCCCCTCTCAGCCTGGCTGCTTCGTGTTCATGTGTTTGAAGCCCCTGGATTATCTACACCTGTAAAGGAAGCGGGATAACCATCCCAGATTATTCATAAACACCTCATTTTTATATCCATATTTGATTAGTTATAAAGAAAGAATTTTAGTCAGAATGGCATCATGACGTGTATACTTTGTACAGTGTTTGCCAATCTATTGTTCTCGTCATGTTTTCCCCATCATCTCTTTTTTACACTGTATGTGCATGCCAAAAAGGGTTTACCATTTTGCAGAACATTGTTAAATTGAGAAGCTATTGGAATATTATGCAATGAAAGCACATACCTTGAAAGTGTAGCTCTGATACTTTGTGCATATACTGCTAAGATTATAGGTACAGGATTTAAATTGTGAGAAAGATATTACTTTCAAGTTAAATGTCATGTCATGTTATCCAAAATGTTGAAACATTGAGTGATTTTTTGACATTTTATTAGCACGCTTTGATATATTTGATCTCATTTTGTTTTTAATGGGAAGCAAATGAAGTAAGAATATCATCACAGATGTGAGGCTTTGGGAGTGTTCTTTTGAAAGATTGGATTTGAAAATGGAGAGAATATGCTGATAAGACTCAAAATTGAAAAGGAAGTCCTCTGTGATTCAAATGTAGACTGTGAAGAATGCATAATCTCATTAGTTTGATGTGATTAGAAAATTAAAAGATGTCTGTGTTAAAGAAGTTTGTTTAAATTTATATCCTATGTTCTTTACTTCTGGGAGACAGGGTGTAGGCAAAAAAAGAGAAAGAGAGAGAGGAGGGAGGGGGTGGTGATATCATTTTGTTACTTCCCTCCTGCCATTTTTTTTCCTAATGAATTTGCTCTTTCCTTTTTACTGAGATACATTATTAATTCGAAGTTTTCTATCCCATAGATGTATATCTCTCTAACTTTCACAATTGAAGTAAGCAAGTGCGAGAGAAATGAAGCAATGTCATGAAGGAACGTTGGCCCTTATTTCAGTATTAGCATGAGAAAAGTCTGACAGTATGTAGAAATAATTGAGCTCAAATAATTATCAAATCAGACTATATGTTCAGTCGTTCGCTTTTATTTCCTTGCAGTTGTATCCAGACATATATTCTGAGCTAATGTATATTTCGCGATGCATCATTATTGAGGATTGTTTTTGCCATTGTTTTTTTTTTTAATGTGGAGGGGTAGCACAAAGTATCATTGGCTGTTTATTAGATATAACACCCTGTGTGTGTCGATATATTTATTTGAGTATTTAAATGATGTCTTCAAGAATATTTAACCAAGTGTTTCTATTGCATCCACTTAATGCATGTTCATGATGTAAATTAGTAGTCTAGGTAGACCTACAGCTAGCAACTTAATTATTCATACTCCTTGGAAATTTGAAGGTCTTTGTGTGTGTGTTTTCAAACTAAAGAATGAAAGGTGGACTGGTTGAATTAGGATCCTGGTTGAATACTTTTAGATGTATTAAGCTGTGATTTGTCACATTCTCAAGAAACAAATCGGGACAAATCAATTTTTCACATGCTTAGAAAATTACAAACCTTGATAAGGGTATGAATAATTTAGTTGTTAACTGTATAATTCTTGTTTGTTATTTCATTTTTTATTTAATCCAACCTGTAAGGAAGAGAATGTTTTAACTTAACACCATTTAATCCACGTAAGTCGTATTGAAAATTAAAATGACTACGGTATTCCTCATTGTCTTAAGTCTTTCTTTCTGCATGAGGTCTATAAGGACATTTCAATTTTGTTTACATTAGTTCATGTACCCTTCAGATTTCTTAGTTTCTAGAGCAAAAAGGCAGGGTATGAATCCTCACCTTCCAAAAAGTTCATAAAATGGTTTATCTGCTCAGATCTAAAAGTATGTACTTGTTCATTTACCGGGGCAGGAGGCTGTGATTTGCAAAGGAGGTCCCGCATCCAATGAATGGGCAATATACACCCGTTTTACTCCACAATGAAAGTTTACACCATGATTCATTCCAGGGGGGGGGGGGGTTGTTTCACAGAGATCCTAAGTTGGACTAATTATGGAAAGCCATTAGCCTCTTTGAAAATATTTTTTGAAAGTTATTTTAAAAGGCATTAAATGTTAATTCAAATCATTCATATTTTCTTTTGGCAAGGAGATTGCATGTTTTTGATGTGGAAATTTTGGGAAGTCTAAAATACTTGAATTTTTGCTTTTGAATATATTTTATTCCAAGGCTACAAATGGCTCGCCATAATGTTTAAGTCCAACTTAGAGTTAAGGTCGACTTCAGATCTTTGTGAAACACCCCCTGGAACCTTTGTTAATTCGGGCCAAAGGGTTTCAAATAATTCTGAATGAGATCAAAGCGGGCTCTGCTTCATTCAAGCTTTAGCAGTTCTTTCCATCACCCATTGGCATCAGGAAACTATTCTTGTTCCTTATAATAGACCAATGTCTATGAAGTTTTTTTAAAAACTCTACCTTAAGTTACAAGTACAATGAAAATATACATGTAGGGCCTCCTGTGTATGAGGGTCAATATCGATATTCAAGATTCAAGATGAACTTGAGGAAGGTTAAACACTATATCAAATTCACGGAAAGACTACATAATAGTGTTTGTGACTGTATGTGATAAACATGATCATAATGTGATGAAGAAGCTGAATAAAACTCTAAACACCACGGCACTTCTTTATTTATATGCAAACTGAAAAGTTGACTACTACAAGTAGAATGTTTTAGGCCTCATTTACATGTTTTCCAGTCATACGACCTGTGAGGAAGATAGTGCTCTCTTTTCTATTCCTCAGTGTCGTGCATATTTTGTACATTTGAATATAAGAGTTAAAAGGGTAAGGTTTGCTAAAATTGAATTTAGGTTTGTTTTTAAATTATCTGAGTCTCAGAAGAATGTGAACGTATAATGTGAATGATCAAATATATGAATGCAATAATATTTGACAGCTAGCGTATAGACTAGTAGTTGATTGAATTAAATGGGTCAAGTGGCTGTTAACCAAAAGACTACAGTAAAGTGTTTGTGACTGTATTTATTGCATTTCATTTCAAGTTACTTCATTTTAGTTCATTTTATTTGAATACGGAAACACCCGATTCAGTCGAGGGCTATTCTTCAGCAAGTCCGTGCAAACACAAAAAGACATACAAATAGTAAATGGTAAAGTTGGATCGCATATAAAATAACATTTATAGGTATATAATCATACATATCAATAAAAAGAAAGATAATATATAAATGAACTCTACTGAATTTGATTTGTGAACAATAAAGACCTCCCATATTCTATTAAGCTATGTTAATACATACGTACGTATATAAACATTTTCTGTAATTTTAATAAGTCAGAATAAATCAGGAGAGCTTAATTGGGTATTTGTTTCTAGTTCATCGTGACTGTGCCATGGACCAGTAATGGCCTGGTGTTGGAGTCGCTGCCCGGCAAGCAGTAGATGCGGGTTCAAGTCCCGCTGGTTCCAAGATTTGTTCTGACTTGTTTTTTTCAATACAGATCGATCAATCAATCTTATTTGCTGGGCGTAAGCCACAAATATATTTAAATACTTTTCTGTAATGTTTGAACTCGGACCCATCCATGGTGGACAAGTGCAATCTCTTGAATTTAAAATTCACCCGCTGCTAAGGCAGGCGAATTCAATAACCTATGTAGCACTTTCCATTAGTAAACCACCCAACTATTGATGCTAAACCCAATTCTGACTGGTTTGATTTGTTTGCCTGTTTGTTATCGAGAGAGAGAGTGTACGTGTGTTGTGTGTGTGTGTGTGCGTGTGTGTGTGTGTGTGTATGTGCGTGTGTGTGCGCGTGACAGAGAGAGAGAGAGGAGGAGGGTGGGTAAAAGAGAGAGAGAGAGAGAGTGATAGGGAGTGAGAGAAAAGAGAGAGAGAGAGACAGGTTGATGAAAGGGAGAGAGCCGAGAGAGACAGGTTGGTGAAAGGGAGAGAGCTGAGACAGGTTGGTGAAAGGGAGAGAGCCGAGAGAGACAGGTTGGTGAAAGGGAGAGAGCCGGGAGAGAACTAGACCATTATAAAAATCCGTTATCGCAAGGCAGTGAAACCTTCCTATCATCTTTTCTCACTCTTTCAACCTTGAATTCTCGCTCCTTCCATTTTGACTGCCATAAATCAACCACTTATTTCATAACATCATTGCCATTCCCATTTTCTCCCTTTCTTCTTTTGCCTTCACCACATGTGCACACCGACTCCATTTCTCTTCTCCCTCTCCCTCTCCCTCTCCTCTCTCCCCATCACTATACTCAAGCTATATTTGGTGTATTAAAACGTGAAACCTTCATTTACTAAAAAGGTGAGATAAGAGTTCATTGAAAAAAATCTCAGAGAAGGCCTGGGTAAAAATATATGTTCGCATCCGTCATATTAATTAGAGGTTTTTTTATGGAAGGGGTTTCCACATAAACGCAACATTTCAACTTACAATATTAAGAAAATCACGAAATATATTTTCCAGCAAGCTAAGTAAAACGAAATTTCTTAATATTCACGTAGCTAACATTCAAAGTAATCTGACAAAAGCAATTGTCTAGAATTTACAAGTTGAATTAGGTATATTTTTACATAATATATTAATCAACACATAGTGGATGGTCATATTGTACTCGTATGGTAGATAGATAGATAGCTTTTTGGTTTCCACAATATCTCATTTTACAAAGAGTGTAACAACACATTGAAACTGATTATAATATACATGTACATACATTACCGGTACACACTACTCAGAATATTGTCCATTGAGTTGAACTTAAGAGATATAGTGGCGGAGCCTATGGAAAAGCAGAGCTTGTTGTGGATATATGCTCCTTAAACTACAAATGACATAATTAACTAAAGTAAAGTTTATAAATACCAATACACGCTAAAAAGGGAAAGGGAGATTACAGCGATACATGAACCGATACTCACAATTAACTACAAAAAACAAGGGAAAGGGAAGGGAATATATCTGCAGCTTATTGAAACAATATTACAATATAGTTTGCTCTCGATATGAGTATATTATAAACATAGTTGGCATGGTCATTCCGTTATTTACTCATTGTAATGAACAAAAGTATAAAGCTTGGAGACAAGAATAGTCAGGAATCAGGAATGACAATAAGTATTAAAATAATAACATTTCAATCTGCACATGTTGCAGACATGAAACAGTACATGTATCTTCGCATGATAATTTGATGATGCTACACAATGTACGGTTAATATGCCTGTATCTTAAAGGTACTATGTCCCATTTGCAGGCCAAACATATCGAAAAGGTTAAATTCCAACGGCATTTGAAAATAATACTTAATTAGAACTTCCCTCAAAACAAAAGGGCTTAAAAATGCCTTTTGGGGAAAATAATGACCGTTAGTTGTCGATTCGAATTTAGCGATCGCGGTCGTTTGATTAAATAGTCTGATTTTCAGACCCTTGTACCGAAAATTCGTACGTTTTGTGCTGCGCAAAGATTCAATCAGTTGAAATTTGGCCATTAAAAGAAGTGGGTTATTGATGTAGAAAAATGCTCATGTATCCTTTACAGCTCAGTTTCTGTATGTTATTACCAAAGAAAAAAAGAAATCCGCAAGTCACTCAATAGTGTCTGACAGTGAAGTCTAGAAATTAAACGAGTTTCCTTGCATAATTCGAATGCTAGGACACTGCTAACGTTTAAATTTCACAGATCATCATACGTAACATAATCATAATTCCTGCAAGTCCTACAGAATTTGATGTTGACTGCAACAGGGTTACATTACCTTTTAACTTATTTGTTATCAATATCAACAAGTTACGATAACTGTTATAAGCTACTGAAATCATGGCATTTGATTGGCTGAGAGCAAATTTGTCATGGATATTTAGCATTTGTTATTGATAACAAGTTTGATGAAACATGGCCCTGGACCAGTATACCTTGATCAACTTAAAATTACCAACAAATCATTAACTATTCAGTTATTATTATATATAACATCATAATACGTAATAAATGTATAATACATTCTGATGGTCATGATTATAATAGAGCATAGAGGAAATAGTGGGTTTCCATCAAAGGCCTCAAAGAAGTGTTTCGGATAACTCCAAAGGTATACTCCAAATTTATTTATTTATTTATTTATTTATGCATGTTCACAATTTCACAATTCATTGAAGCTAACATCACATGAAAAATTAATATAATATAACAAATCATTTTCAATTTTACAATCCATTTGAATTAACTTCACGTGAACAAGAATATAACATTGTTTTATCAAAGACAAGTTGCAACTAATATACAGTTAATAATACACACGCAGGTGATGAAACATAAGCAAATAGAGCTTGAATCGTTACAACACCTTTCAAATATATAATATATGACAAATAAAATTCCTAAAGTTTTGTAGTGAACTATTCACACTATTTACAAAATTAAAAAAGAAAGAAAAAAAAATTCGTTAAGCCTAGTATCAAAATTATGTTAGATTAGAACTGATATATAGATTATAATGTAAGTAATATCTTACATCTGTGAAATGATAAAACATTTGAGTGCTCTTTTAAAGGAGTTTGTTGATTTTATATTTCGAATATCATTAGGTAAAGAATTCAATACATCTGGACCTCTGTGTCTGATTGATTTCTGGGCTAATGTAGTGTGAGGATTGACCACATGTAAATTCGATGACTGCCTTGTTGAATACGAATGAACCATGTTATTAGGTTGGAACATTGAAGATAATGACGTAGGTAATACTTTAATGTTAAAACGGAACATAAATATGGCAATTTGGAGGAAGTTAATATCATTAACCTTTAAGCATTTCAGTTTAACAAATAGTGGGGTAGCATGGTCACGATAACCAGCTCGGGTACATATGCATACAGCTTTCTTTTGCAGCAGAAGAATATTATTAGTCACACACTTGGATGTTGCCCACAAAATATTACAATAAGAGATGCGTGGTAAAATTAGACTATTATATAGCATAAGTAATATTCTATCAGAAACAAAACATTTTATGCTATACAGTACGCCAATATTTCTGGAGATTTGTGTAACAATGTGTTTTACATGGTCGCTCCAGTCAATTTTTTTCATTGATATAGACACCAAGGAATTTCGTACGTGTCTTTCTCTCTAAAGAAATATCATCTAGTTTAATATTAAGAGCAAGGTTGTCATTAGATTTTCTAACTCCAAAATGAATATAATTTGTTTTAAGAACATTGAGAGAGAGCACATTACTTCTAAACCATAAAGTCAACTTTGGCAGTTCCGAATTTAGTTTCTGTTCAAGAGTGTTGATTTCACGATGAGACAAAAAAACACTCGTATCATCTTCAAATAAGGTGTAATTTAAAGTTTTAGATACATTACAAATATCATTGATATAAATAAGAAATAATAATGGGCCCAGGATGGATCCCTGCGGAACACCACATTTAAGATACAGAATGTCAGAGTTAACAGAGTTAAATTCAACCTTTACAATTTGCATAGCCTACACCTTGTATGGTATCTTTACAGAATTGATAATACAAACTGTGCATAATCTGATTGAAATAAATTAAAGCTCCATGAAACCCAAAACCTAGAGCAAACTATACCTCTTGAAGAAAGTCTAGAGTTGAACTCTACCTTTTGAAAAAGAAGCATATGCTTTCACTAGTTCTTTACTCTTGACAAACAATTTACACGAGTCTGTTTCCTCCTAAGAAGCACCGACGCAGAAAAAACTCTCCTTGTATCTGATAGCCCAGGTCGCTTCATATGATCACAAAATCCCCTATTCTGTTCCCTCCTAGTTCGGTTCCATGGGTTGGGGATGTAATTCTTCACATGCCGCTCCTAGTTGTTACAAAAAACATAGGCCCGAATTCACAAAGCAAGGTTTGAGCTCAGACCAAGGTTTGAGGTCAAACCTCCTTTTATTATTTACAAACCAGGTTTGTAAATAACAAAAGGAGGTTTGAGCTCAAACCTTGGTCTGAGCTCAAACCTTGCTTTGTGAATTCGGGCCATAATGTTTGTACTCTGTACAGATATTTCAACACGGGGTACGTACACCTATGTGCCATACAACACCCTGATTATATGTATGAATAGTCCACAAAAGCCGAAATAAGCACACTTTCTGTCGGAGTCATGACACCTACTTACTCTCCCAAATTTATGGTGGCCCTGAAGGGACATCACGAATAGACCACATCGCGAATTATTCACGACGAAATTCGCGACGTCGTGAATTTTATCGCCAATTTTTCACGACGAAATTGACGATATCGTAAACTTCGTCGTGAAAAATTGGCGATAAAATTCACGACGTCGGGAATAATTCGCGAGTTGGTCTATTCGCGATGTCCCTTCAGGGCCACCATACTATTCAGGCCGCATAGCAAGGCAAAAATAAATACACGACGCTAGTTGGTGACGAAACCAGCCAGGCGTGAATCAAAATCAAAAATTGGCGATAAAATTCACGACGTCGGGAATAATTCGCGAGTTGGTCTATTCGCGATGTCCCTTCAGGGCCACCATACTATTCAGGCCGCATAGCAAGGCAAAAATAAATACACGACGCTAGTTGGTGACGAAACCAGCCAGGCGTGAATCAAAATCAAAAATTGGCGATAAAATTCACGACGTCGGGAATAATTCGCGAGTTGGTCTATTCGCGATGTCCCTTCAGGGCCACCATACTATTCAGGCCGCATAGCAAGGCAAAAATAAATACACGACGCTAGTTGGCGACGAAACCAGCCAGGCGTGAATCTCGTCGTGAATTTTATCGCCAATTATTCGCGACGAAATTGACGACGTCGTGAATTTTATCGCCGATTTTTCACGACGAAGTTTACGATATCGTCAATTTCGTCGTGAAAAATTGGCGATAAAATTCACGACGTTGTAATATGTAATATTAATGGAAATTACCTAATTACTCCTTAATCAACTGAACCTTTCACTATATTTTAAGGTTGTGAAGTGCTGCAGGTCAGTATTTTTACACTACACACACAAAATAAAGAAAATAACATGAGCAGCATTTGAACTTACATTCCTCCGGGCAGTTTCCTCATTTAAGGATGAATAAACTTTGCTGCCATCTTCCCATTCTCCACATCTTTGTTTAGCTTCATTATTCGTGTACGTATCTTTAAAAAAATAAACAAGAAACCCTTTTTGTGACGTCTGTCAGTCAGAGACTACAAAGAAGTTATGTATCCCAAGTGATTCAATATAAATAAAGCATGGAAATTTACAAACATCAGTTTTCACATGCAGACGCGTACGCAAGGGGGGGGGGGGGGGGGTTGGGGTTGAACCCCCCCCCCCCCTTAACTTTTTTTTTTGTGTTTCGGAGGAAACCCCCCCCCCCCCCCATTTTTTTTAAAAATAAAACAAAAATTATAATCTAACAAAAACAATTGTGGTAATGATTAACCCCTAAAAAATGTCCTCTTACCCCACCCCCCAACCCGCTTATTCAGCGGCTGCCTGAGTTGTTGCGAAATTTTCGGCGTGATTTTCAAATTTGAACCCCCCCCCCCCCCCCCCCCCCCTCGAAAAAAAAAAATCCTGCGTACGCGCCTGTGCACATGTAGAAATTACTACAGAGTCACAAAACAGGGAATTTCTATAAACAATGCAAAATAATGGAAGACATATTTTCTTTAAATAATCAGTAATTATTATCCATTGCTGCTGAATATACCCTTTTCAATAATGCCTCATATCTAATTACCATGAAAATGAATCTTCTGAGGATCCTTTCCGCACTTGTGAGATCTGAATTAGAATTTCTTTAAACCAATTCCTCTTCCATTTGGTAGAACATTTAGTTGATAAACATTTATGCAAAGGATGGTGCGATATCACAAACCGTGACTCCATGCATAAAATTAGCTTCACGAACTACAGTCCAACCTTTCTATTAAGGTTAGAAAGGGAAACAGAAAAAGTGGCCAATGGAGGCAGGTGGTATTTCTAAAAATGTTCAATGACACATTTTTCTTTCATTTTATTTATTTTATTCACCGATCAGTTTTAGATAGGGGTACATGCCTCCAAGGAGCTGTTATATGAGAATTTGGAAGCACAATGGTGGATCTTGCATTCACTCTCTACATGTGCTTTGCAACAAATTTGTTGGGGTCTTGAAGAATTTTGAGGAGATTAAGGAGCTTGTGCCCCAAATACCTGTAGAACCTCTACTAATGCCCCCCTTTCGTGCTTATTTCCTTCTGTATATAGACAGGTTATTTATCTTGGTTTTGTGTTGGTTATGTACTGTGCAAGCGCAACAAGCAGACAATAAGATAAATTGAATAAACTTGAGTCTCAGTAAGTGCTGCTGGCAGAAGACCGACTTTCTGTTCAACGGAGCGACGGTTTGATTGTTAACGCAAATGCGACCCTGCACCACAAAACCACCAAATAGTCGCCAGTGAAGTTTTTCTTAGTTTAGGGCTGATTCTGAAAGAGGGGATTTTAAGCTTTAAAAGGATATATTATACTCATCAAAAGTGCATGTCCCTAATCCAAAATAAAAAGACTAATTAAGCACATCCTGTTTCTTTATTTCTTCAAGGAATCATATAGATTTAATTGCCTACTCTGTTTAAAAATTATTGGAGATCAAAATGAGATCAGTAGCAAGGGTCGTAAAAGAATTTAAACAAAAACTACTAAAACAGACTCAAAATCAGAATTACAAAGGTCTACAAAAAACTGCCAGTTCTGTGCTCCCAAAGTTAAAAATTACAGGTAAACAAATAAAATTGTCAGGAAATGCTGAAAACAAAAGTTTGACCATCCTAACCAAATACCGGTAGACCTTTATTGAGCTATTACAGAAAACTACACAGTGCAACTTGTTGGTGGTTTTGTGGCACGAAGACAGTCAATTCATAAATAAGCTCATTGTCTGCTCGTACTGCACACGCTCAGTACACCTACACATCGCTTATTTATCACATTTTTTATTTGACATTATAACAGTCAAAGACAAATTGAACCTAGGTCCAAATTTCTTTTATCAAAAGAAAGTTTAGACCAGGCATCTGGTTGTGGAATAGTCAGAATGTCTATGTAAACCTAACACGAGAAAGATTCAAACATACCATAGGGTTCGATCAAGTATTTCAAATTGGATTCTGTGAACGTCACATGGGTATCATCCAAGATTAGGATCCTCAAGTGGACCAGACTCCTGGTGCAATCTAGGCTCTCGTTTTTCAACAGGCGATACGCTTCCTCATTGCTGTCCGTGATTTCCGTCCCGTTGTATATAATACTCGGTTCCCCATTCTCCACAGTGCCGTAGATGATTTCAAAGACTGAGTTTGGTGGTACCCGGTATGTACTACTTGGTGGAAACACACTTGGTGGTGGTGGTGGTGTAGGGTCTATTAGGGAAGATACTGATAAACAGGCGAATGACACACACAAATTATAATGCACATTGTTGTTTAAGGTCATGGATTGGGGGAATATATATAACAGTGTGAACGTATAATATGTTATAAGCCCCCCCCCCCCCCAAAAAAAAAAGCATCGCGAAGTATAACGGCATATAGTAAGTATAGTATAAAGTATAAAGTATAGGTGGGCTGGTCAACTAAAATTTGACACAAAATAGAGCAAAAATAAGCGAGATACTGCTAAAAAACAATGTCCTATATATATTGATGATGTGAAAGAAATTCACCTTCATTAGGCATAACACGCAACTTAAGAAATTTCTGATATGTGCCCTTTAATCGTAATTTTCATAGTGATCAAAATGACAAATGGTGGAAATGAGCTTGTAGAGAATTGTCTTAGCTACATCATATCGAAATTTGGAAGAAAATCGATCAATATTAATAGAGATACAATCAATTTTACGTAAACATGCTGACTTCATAATATGCAAATTCGTATTTTTTAAGTTCCAAGGCCATTATGATGATATCACGATACACTTAATGGCCAATTGAGACAAGGAATCATATCTTCGACTCATACTCTATCTAAATATGAACAAAATTGAAGGTCACGATTCATTCCAAAAAGCTATAATGAATTTTGTATATGCATGTTTTTGCCCATATATGCTATGTATTAAAAGAGCTCGCGCGCACGGGCATTTTTCTTGAATTGACGCTCATCTTGTTATTAATGGACATAAATAGATATACATGGTCTCAAATTCCTCGAAAAATATGAGCAATATCATGTACAAAGAAAAAAATGGCGATTCTATGTTGTGTAATGGTGTTACGCGCGAAAACGCGCGCGCATGAGTTGATTTTCCGAAAATTTTACAAAATAGCGCCTAGATGACGTCATCAGTGAAGGTCAATGTTGAAAACGTTATTGTGCTTTGTATTATGCCTATACATATGTGTGCCAAATTTCAAGGCATTTGATCTAGCCATTTTCAAGTTATCTTGTCCACAAAAAAGTGGTAAGAAATAAGAAAAATAAAGAATAATAAATAAATAAATAATGAAGGCAATTCTAACGAAATTATAAGGTGGTCTGTACGATATCAGCCCACCTGATAATAAAGAATAATAATAAAGGCGATTTTAACAAAATTATAAGGTGGTCTGTATTAGATACAGCCCACCTAACTAGACGGGTAAATGTAGAAAATTATAATACGATGACGAGTCGAATCACAAGTACGGCAGGTAAGCTGAGCTGAGCGGTATAGAAGATCGCATGTGCGCTAGTACAACTAGTTTATTTACCATCACGGAAAACCGGAAATCGTTGTCGCAAGACGCAAATTAGCTGGATCGTCTCCGATCCGGATAATTCAAATACCTGGATATTTGGCAATCTCGAGATAGTGAAGCCAGGCTCGTGTGTGTGTAATTTTACTCATAAATACCCGATCAAACTGATGTGTATTATTTGTTTTAATAGATGATGTTTTATTTGTATTATAAGATGATGTTTTATTATCCCCTCACCGTCCGTCCTTCCGTGCGTCCGTCCGTCTATGCGTGCGTCCGTAACAATTTTGGTTTCTGATCGATAACTTCAGTAATGTTTGACAGATTTTAATGAAATTTGACATGAAGGTACATAATATCAAAAAAAGACTAAATTCGATTTCGGAGTTTGAAGGTCACAGGTCAAAGGTCATAGCTCATTAAACATGCGAAAAATACACATCTGGTTTCCGATCGATAACTTTATAACATTTTAAAAACCCATCGAGACAAATACTGGATTCGTGCTCATGACAGTTATGAAAATCATTATTCATTTATTCACCGACGTCACATTCTCTGACACACGGCCGGGTGGGAGTATTCTTCTCAAGAGGTCAAACAAACGGCAATCATGGAGCACCTCCATTACTTTGGCAGTGAGTATTCCGAAATACACACAGCGGAACGCATATTTTTAATTTTTACAATAGCCTGTGATTATACGGCTTGAATTTTAATAAACCCGCTCGCGAAAAGTCTAGCTAGCTACGAAAGCTTGGAAAGAGGTCACAAACAATTAGACTTTGATTATTTATTTATTTGTCTCCCTATTTATGAAGGCAAACATTAAACTGGATAAATACTGAGATTCGATCACACAACTCCAACGTTGTATTACGCTGTCCTTACCGATTGAGCTAACGATGGGTTGATGAAAGGTGGGTTTGCATGATTATTTTAACCCTATCACTATTAAACCTTAAGAGTATTAAGAAATATGGTCCAAAGAGAGGTGAAAAAGGCTAAACTCGATTACTTACAAAACAAGATAGAAGAAAATAAACAAGATTCGAAAATGATTTGGCAGAATCTAAAAAGCTTAGGATTAAAAAACAAGAAGCGAAAAGAACTAGAATCTGTCATTAAAATTGATGGGGAATTATGTCATGATAAGATGGCCATCGCTGATGAATTCAATTCTCATTTCACAAATGTGGTTGCCAAATTAGTAGACAAACTCCCCCCTTCCAAAGACTTTTTCAGCGCAGACAATGATTGTATTCGTGATTTTTACGAAAGAAAAGGTGTACGTGAAAACACCTTCGAGTTATTACCAATCAGTGAACAATTTGTTTTCAAAGAGTTACGTAAGTTGAATGTATCAAAAAGTACTGGGTTAGACATGATTCCAGCTAAATTCCTAAAGGATGGTGCGAGGGTTTTATTTAAGCCTCTAAGTTACTTAATGAACCTATCTATCTTGACGAGTACTTTTCCAGAGGATATAAAAATAGCAAAAGTGACTCCACTTTATAAAAAGAAAGATAAAACTGATTTTAGCAACTATAGACCTATTAGTTTTTTAAGCGTAGCATCAAAGATTCTAGAAAAATCGGTCTGTGTTCAAATTGAAAGATACTTCAAATAAAATGATATAATTTATGAATTTCAATCTGGTTTTCGACATGATTATTCGACTGAAACATGTCCAATTCATTTGACTGATTATTTGAGGACAGAAACTTCCCGAGGGCGCTTTGTTGGTAAGGTGCTCCTTGATCTGCAAAAAGCTTTTGATACAGTTAATCATTGCGTCTTATTGAAGAAGTTACAACTAATGGGTTTTAATAAGGCAAGTTTAGGTTGGTTCTGATCCTACTTATCTAATCGACACCAAGTAGTGGCCATTCATGATATTCGTTCCAAAATAATGCCTATAACACGCGGTGTTCCTCAGGGAAGCAATTTAGGCCCAATTCTATTTTCAAGTTATATAAATGATATGTGTATTTGTATAAAAGACTTTAAACTATTATTGTACGCAGATGACAGCGTACTACTCTTTTCAAATCCTGATCCTAAATATATTAAGGAAAAGCTCAGTGAACAGCTGTCTACGTGTGTCGATTGGATGACTGATAATAAGCTTTCTTTACACTTGGGAAAAACAGAAAGCATTTCGTTTTGTTCTAAAAGTAGTTCTAAAAAGTCATTTGAATTCAAAGTGACACACAATAATCAAGTAATCAAGAGATAATATTCTGTGAAGTATTTAGGCATTGAGTTGGCTAACGCAATTTCATTTTCATCTTTAGTAGAATCAGTGGTAAAAAGAGCAAATTCTCGTCTGAAATTTTTGTACAGGTATCAAAGTTGTATGGATTTAAAAGCAAGACGTACACTCTGTTTTGCTCTTTTTCAATGTTTATTTGACTATGCTAACCCTGCATGGTATAGTAACATAAACAAGTCAGATCAAAAGAAGCTGAAGATTATACAGAACAAAATGGTGAGATTTATCAACTGTTCTGGTCCAAGAACACATGTTGGCTACAGCGAACTTTCTAAAGCTGGTTTTCTTGAAGTCGACCAAAGATCAAAACAACTCGTATTGCATCACGTGCATAAAATATATCATACTAGGTCGAATCATTATATTCGATCCAACTTCGATCTTGTTACTGACTTACATGATTATAATACAAGAAATAGCCGATTCAAATTTAACTTACCAGAAAGAGTAGGTAGTATTGGAAATTCGTTTTATTACAATGCCATAAAACATTGGAATTCCCTCCCCAATGGTGTAAAGGAAATAGAAAACTATGCTCATTTTAAGAGGAAATTAAGGAATACCTAATACTTGACAGTCAGATAAGAGAAGTAAATGACATGTTATATGATTGAAATTTGTATTCTTCTGCCGGTTCATACTTTTTCATTTTGTATATACTATGTTTTCGTACGTTATAGAAATTCTACAAATTCATCATTATTTTCCTCTTCTTCCTCCGCCTCTTTTTCTTCTTCTCCTTCTTCCTTTTCTTCTTGTACTTATTACCATTTCTATCATCAGTTTAATGTTGTTATTATTATTATCTTTAATAAGTAATTCTTTTATTTTTCTTATCTGTCTGTAAATAATTATTACTATTTTAAGTTATTAATTTTATACATGTCTGTAAGGGACCCCACTGGAAATAAGCTCTCGAGCTTTCGTGGGTTATCCTGCTCAAGATGACTTACTTCTGATCTGTTATTATTGTATATTGTTGTATGTTGGAAGCTTGTCGAATAAAAATCAATCAATCAAACCATGTGCGTACGTGCAGGTTTAGCTAGCTAGCTAGAAGCGGCTTTATTGAAATTCAAGCTGTAAGAATCACAAGCCGCTGTGTAAATAAAAATTACGCCAGCGGGACGTCTCCATGTGTAAAAGATCTGTGAATATTTGTGGGTCATTTGTAACAAAGCTAACTAGTCCATTCGGAGCTTAGTGATTTTATCTGTGACCGCGCACGTGTGTCACAATCTGTATTTATTGGCTATGGCTCCACCAAAGCCACTTACGTAGTTGGAAGTTTGCCCTGATGACTTGCTCTCCCTCCTCATCATTGACCCTGACCTCGCACGAGTATACTCCAAAGAAACTATCCTCTATGGCGTCAAAGTGAAAGACTAGTCCAGTAGGTAGGATGCGCACTCCTTCCACCAGTTGTCTCACTGTGAATAACAAGAGAGTAATTAAAAGGATTTTACCAGTTCTAAAGTCAAATTGGAACAACAAATATTTAGATACAACATTAAACATAACAAGGGTCAAGGGGGACAGTATTAAGGTTCAATTAATTTCACGTTACTATAAAAGGCGTCATAATTTGTGCATCAAACTCTAAAGACAAAGTTAAGTACCTGTCATGCAATAACATCCTAGAAGTTATTTTGGACGATTAATGATGTTGTAAAAAGGAACAATTCTGCGGCAAGAATTTTAGAATCATCAAATTATGACAGATTGACTAACATCACAAACATTTAAAATCAACGGCCACTAACTTAGACTACACATTAAGAAGCCTAAGACTCGAATCCAAAATTATTAGCAGAGCACCTATTTATTTATTTCTTCAGGATCTATCTGTTTTAGGTAATCTGCCGCGGAGCGAAACAGAGCACCTATTGATTTTGTCAGAATCTATCTTTTAAGGTGATCTGCCGCGTAGCGTGGCAAAGCACCAATAGGTTTTGATTTGCTGAGAACAAAAAGACGACTCTCTGCACGAAATTGTATTATGGCGTTGATTTGTACTTTAATCAAATGACCAACGATGTGAGTCAAATGTCGTCGAACAACGCAGTTCAGATGTTGAAGAATATATAATTCAATCTGCATAAAAAGAACAAACAAATTGAACCGGAAATTAGACATGTACCTTCAGTACCTTGATTAACACTGAATACATATTTGTCTAGACTATGAAGCTCTGAATTGTACTTCTTATATAAATAATAAACTTGACTGAACTATCAAAACATGTCTCTCTGTGTCATTATTGAATAATAACTGTTGTATCTTATCTTGCATCATGACCACTAGTCATCAGATACATATGTAGTCTAAATCATAATTATCTTCATGAAATATCTGCAATAATTACCTTGCAAATATGAAAGTGTAAACTACTCCAGTAATCCTTTTGTATTGGAAAATAAATCTCAAGCCATGTATATCAAGTTCAACTTGAGCAAAATTCAACTTGCAATATTATTATGCACATCACAACTCTTGCATAACTTTTCTCTAACCAAGTTAAAATAACCTAGCCCAGTTTGATTCATTTCAGACACTCAGTTAACATATAAATCCCTCATGCCTTTTTGATTTCTCCATTAATAATTGTTGTACAGATTTATAAGCTTTCATAAACATAAGCCCCTGACAAAAACACTCATTGATGTAAACAATGCAACAAATTGATGTGCTAACTTCAGTTTTGGTTTCATGCTCAAAACCTATGTAAATTGCACCTCCTTTTAAACACAGGAAAGTAACATTAAATTCTTGAAGAATTATTAATAAAAACAGCTTGACCTCATCTCGATAGTTATTTCCTTTCATACCCTTTTCCATTATAAGGATTATATTTTGTTTTCATATCTCATTTTTCCCACAAAACTTGTCGCATTCTTATATCTTACTGCAGCGACAGGAAATATGCAAATTAAATGCAAATGAACATAAACCACGAGAATTCACTTTTCGTTTCACATTTAAGTAATTTGTTCATAAAGTCATTAAACCTAATATTAAAGCAAACTTACTTCTTGGGCAGGAACTATAAACTTTCTTAAACATAATGAGAGTCGGCCAAACTTCTAGCTTGACGAAATCTGCACATACGGTTGAAATGTCAAGCCTTCGGTCGAAACTTGTGCCTCGGGTTTTCTGACATGTTTCGAAGCTAAAATTAGCCACCTATAAACGGCCGTAAACCGAAAAATCTATGGTATCTTTCAATGAACAAGAAAAGAGTAAATATCAGCAAATCCACTAGAAATAAGTTTCGATCAACGAAACATCCTCCCGCCCCACCGGATGAGGAGTCTTTCTGAAAGCTTGAAATTTCTCAAAACAAATACACTGTATATCATATGATTACATGCATGTGAATCATTACATATATTATATCAACAGTCTCAGTTCAAATGAGAACTCATTCTCTATTGTTCAGTTCGATCTAGTCAATATAACCTTCTGCTGGGTAAATTACGGCTAGTTTTGAAATCGGTCTCCGATACTCTCCGGAAACAGTTTTTAGCTTCACATTCCGAACTTTACCATCAGGTCCTGGATAAACCTGAATGATCCTAGCTATAGTCCACTTTCCACGTACTGCATTACTATCTGCAGTCATTACAACATCTCCTACACGAACGTTCCTACGATCTGCGTTCCACTTTCTGCATGGTACTAAAAGTGGTAGGACGTTTTGCGACCACCGCTTCCAAAAGGAATCTACTATCTGCTGAATGAATTCTACGCGATGACGCGGATTCTTGGTTTGCTTAAACGGACCTTGAGGAACATTTCTAGATGACCTACCTAACAATATATCATTGGGACTCAAATAACTTCCATCATCTGGGTCATTGCATTTCCGTCCTATCGGTCGCTCATTCATGAGATTAGCTACTTCGAGAAAACATGTTAACAACTCAAATGGAGTGAGCACCTGCTCACCGATTGCTTTCTTGATTGCAATTTTAGCACTCTTCACGAGCGATTCTGCGCACCCATTTTGGTGGGGTGCACCAGGGGTAATGAACTTCCACTGTACCCTTTTTTCCGCACAGAAATCTTTGAGCTCATCTTCACTCCATCCCGATATCATCTCGCGAAGTTCGCGTTGAGCTCCTACAAATTGGGTTCCATTATCGCTAAGAATCTGAGCTGGTTGTCCCCTCACTGCGAAGAATCTCCTTAAAACTTGGAGAAATTCCATTGTTGAACAATCAGTCGCGATTTCAAGATGAACTGCACGGGTGTTTAGGCATGTGAAGATTACACCATAGTGTTTGGCCCTCTTGTTACGACCAACTTTAACTTGAAATGGACCGAAATAATCACAGGACGTGTAATAAAACGGTGGAGTATGGGGTGCTAGGCGACTGCTGGGCAAATCAGCCATCTTCTGTGATTCACGCTTACATTCTGCTGACCTGCACTTTACACATCGATGCTTAACAGTTTTAGCTAGACGATGTCCCTGAAGAATCCAAAACTTACGTCTAGTCTTGGCGGTTGTTGTCTCAACTCCCGGATGTCCAATCTCATGAACATGACGTGTGATTAGAAGAGATATATGATGGCTAGCTGGCAGCAGAGCTGGTTGTTTAGATTCGTAGGATGTCACTAAGTTCTCCACTCTACCCCCTACTCTGATTATTCCTTTGTTGTCAAGGAAAGGAGTGAGAGTTTTGAATTCTCCTTTCTCAAATCTGCTCTTCAGACCTTTCTGAGCCTCCTTCGTCCAGTAGTGCTCAGCCTTCTCTAATTCTGCAGGAGTTAAAGTTACATCATCTTCCGGTATGGATGCTTTCATGAGCTTTGACTTGAGAATCTGCACATATCTGAAAACGTAGGCAGTCACTCTTACTAACTTTCGCCATTTTGAGAAGCGTTCACATTCAATGGGGGTGACTGTCATGTTGATGACTAAGACTGTCTGAGTCTTTCGTCTTTCTAGATTCTCAAGATTCTGATCGATTATAGCTTTGTCCACTGGCCACTCTGGTTCATTGAGGTGGAGAAAATTAGGACCGCACATCCATTCATCCATTAGTTCCTTCACTGCGATTCCTCTCGAAACTTTGTCTGCTGGATTATCTTCACCAGGAATGTGTTTCCAACTTGATGGGTCAGTGAGAGTCTGAATCTCCCCAACTCTACTTGATACGAAAGGCTTATATACCCTGGCTGAAGACTTGATCCACTGCAGAGTAATCATGCTGTCAGTGAAGAACACTACTTTCTCGACCTCTAGTCTCATCTCTTCGGTGATTGACTTGTAAAGTCTGGCAGCTAACACGGCAGCTTGTAATTCCAATCTCGGTATTGTCAATGCCTTTAACGGTGCTACCTTTGACTTTGATGCGATGAAGCGAGTCTCATACCTGTCATCTCTGGTTTGCCATCTCAGGTATGCACAAGCACCATATGCATTTTCGGAAGCATCAGAGAAAATGCACAACACTGGCTTGCCTTGAGCATCAGGAGGAGTAAGGCATCTTTCTAGTGATACTCCATTCAATCCTTTCATTTCCTCAAACAGAAGCCTCCATTCAGCATCTTCTTCTGGTGAAAGATGATCGTCCCAGTTGTAGCCTCTCTGCCACAATTTCTGCATACCTATCTTTGCTCTAACTATCACTGGTGCAGCAAATCCTATGGGGTCAAATATGTGGGCAATCTGACCAAGGATCTTTCTCTTAGTCAATTTTTCTTGACTCTCTCCATCTGTTGCTGATCTCATTACACTGTCTTTCAGCTTTACTTTGTAAGAGAAGGTGTCATTTTCTCTGTCCCAAACTACTCCAAGGACCTTCTCTTCAGCTATCTCTTCCAACAATTTCATCTTTCCCTGGGTGAGGTCTCCGACATCTGATTCATTTGAAATCCACCCTTTGACCTTGAAGCCACCTTCATTCAACACTTCATCCATCTCGGCGCTGAGTTTCCTGGCTTCATCTACAGTCCTTACAGAGTCGCAAATATCATCCATGTACACATTCCTCTTTAAAACAGCAGCTGCCCGAGGATGTGTACTCTCTCCTTGCTCTGCTGTAAGCTTAAGGGCAGTCTGGGCTATCGCAGGTGCAGGTTTGTCACCGAAAGTGACAACTTTCATCATATAGATGTCAGGTTCTCTGTGCTCATCCATGTCCCTCCATAGGAACCTGTGAACATGTTGGTCACTCTCTGGGATTGATACTCGATGATACATCTTAGATATATCCCCGCATAAGGCCACTTCGTTTTCCCTGAATCTCAGAAGTACTCCAATCAGATTGTTCAGGAGATCAGGGCCTTTCATCCAATACTCGTTTAATCGATGACCTTGGAATGATGCTGATGAATTGAAGACTATTCTGATAGGGGTGCTCTTCTTTTCTGGCCTTACAATCGCATGATGTGATATGTAATGAACTGGCCCTTCATAATTCTTGATATCTGCTGCTGTTAGTTTCTTAGCAAATCCCATTTCTTCCAGTTCATGAATTTGCTTGTTATAGGCCTCTGCATGCCCTGGATTTCTAGCAAGTCTCTTCTCAGTAGACTCCAGTATTTTCACTGCTTGACTTTTGTTATCTGGGAGTTCATGAGGATCCCGTTGCCATGGATAGGCTATCTCCCATTTCTTTCCTTTATTCTGCGAAGAAGCTCTGATGATTTCTTCCTCTATCTGTTCTTGCTTGGTTAGCTTGGTAGTCTCTTGGCACTGACAACCTACCCCTTGTGATTCCAGTCGCCAAAATTCTGACAGATCGGGGTTCTGGACTGCAACATGTAGCACATTCACACAAATGGTTCTCTTGTCTGTGCCGCCGAAGATTACCCATCCTAACGGAGTCTTTCTTGCGATACAGTTTTTTCTCTTCTTCAGTTTTCCACTTACAATGTATCTTGGATAGTCAACGCCTATCAGAACTTCTACAGGTCCACTATCTCGATTCAGGTTGGGAATATCGAACTGATCTGCTAGGTCTTTCACACTTACAGCTTCTTCCTCCGTGATTGAAGGTACACCTACAACTTCGATGAACTGATGTTTCTTGGATGTATTCGCTTCCCGAATCGGCACCTTGTATTTGAATGTCTCCAACTCTTCCTCAACTTCACCAAGTTTTTTAATGGTGATTCTAGTTCTGGTACCAGTCAAGTGGAGTTTCTCTGCTAGTGAGTTCTTGATCAAACTAACTTGTGAGCCGCTATCTAGCAGAACATTGGCTCTTGTCTGTAAATCACTGGTAATGTCTATGGTTAGGATTGGCAGAAGTGAAGCTCCGACAGTAGTTGCAACGTTAACGTTGTTTTTACTGCTCTCATTCTCTGATTGGTGACCCACTTCCATATGAAGCAAAGGATGATGGTAGTAAGTGCACCCTTGCTCTGGACACCTCTGCCTTCTTCTGCAGTTTGCCATGAAGTGATTTTTCCCTGCTTTTTTCAAACAGCTAAAGCAGCATCTGTTTTCTTTGAAGAACTTAAGTCTCTCTGGGGCACCCATAGATGTCAGGCGCTTACACTGATCGATCCAGTGTTCATCCGTCTTGCAATACCAGCATCGATGTTGTCTTTGAATTCGGTCCGGTGGCTGATCTTCATGACGTCTATCACTGTAGGCTGGTTTATTCTTCTCTTTCATTGACATTTGGTTGACGTTTGCTGAACGGCCTTCGCTTTGGGATCTCAATGGCGCTGAAGATCTAATTCGTGCCTTCATTTCTAGGTTTAACCATGTCAACAAAGTTTGAAGACCTGCAGTTTGCTTCTCTGTTTCTTGGTATCTAAACCAATTCTTTCTGTCATTAGGGCACATCTTTCTTTCTATGGTGGCTAGCATATGACTGTTGTCCATATCGCTCTTCTTCCCCACAAGCTTGAGGATGTTGTAGCTTCTTCTTACAAGATTAACCAATTCACAAAATCTATTATCCTCGTTTTCCTTCAAGGGTCTGAATTTGGTTAAGTCATTGATGATAGTATCTGCTACGATTCTGGGGTCGCCATACATAGAGTCCAAGAGCTCCCATGCCGCGTCATAATCACTTCCTATCCCTTGGATAATATCATGTGCACGGCCCACTAGACAGCTTCTCAAGATTGTCATGGCATCACGTTTTCCATACTGCGAATCAACCATGTGAATGAAGTCTGACTTGAATATCTCATAGTCCCGAACATCTCCAGCAAACTTGGGCAACTTTGGCTTCTCCACTTTAAAACTACACCTGGCAGCTGCCATGCTAGGAGAAGTGTCTGGACTCTGATCTGGAGGTGGAGGCGCACTTGTAGACTCCGGTGGTGTAGAAGCCTCTCTCTCTACCGGCGGCATCTCAAACTGTGATGATACTTGTTCTGCTGGTGTCTTAACGTCTGGGCTTGTTTGAGAACAGTAATCAGTGACAGTTATCTGTAGTTCCATGAATTCCTTCTGGCAATCATTTATCCACTGCTCCTCTGTCTCAAACTCAGCATCATCATCAAGAGTCAAAGCGAAATTTTCATGCGCTTCTTGTAATGCTTCAAATGCTTGCTCAACCTTGTCAAATGCAGATTGAACCTCTGGCTCTACTCGGTTGTTGTCAAGCAACATCTGAAGACCATTGCTGTGTCGTGTAAACCTGGCCTTCGCTCCCCTTCTCTTGAGTTTCAGTGACTTCTTGTCCTCCGCCATCGTAGTAATTCAGCGAAGCTCCAATAGAAATTGAATAGTATGATTTGCTGAGAACAAAAAGACGACTCTCTGCACGAAATTGTATTATGGCGTTGATTTGTACTTTAATCAAATGACCAACGATGTGAGTCAAATGTCGTCGAACAACGCAGTTCAGATGTTGAAGAATATATAATTCAATCTGCATAAAAAGAACAAACAAATTGAACCGGAAATTAGACATGTACCTTCAGTACCTTGATTAACACTGAATACATATTTGTCTAGACTATGAAGCTCTGAATTGTACTTCTTATATAAATAATAAACTTGACTGAACTATCAAAACATGTCTCTCTGTGTCATTATTGAATAATAACTGTTGTATCTTATCTTGCATCATGACCACTAGTCATCAGATACATATGTAGTCTAAATCATAATTATCTTCATGAAATATCTGCAATAATTACCTTGCAAATATGAAAGTGTAAACTACTCCAGTAATCCTTTTGTATTGGAAAATAAATCTCAAGCCATGTATATCAAGTTCAACTTGAGCAAAATTCAACTTGCAATATTATTATGCACATCACAACTCTTGCATAACTTTTCTCTAACCAAGTTAAAATAACCTAGCCCAGTTTGATTCATTTCAGACACTCAGTTAACATATAAATCCCTCATGCCTTTTTGATTTCTCCATTAATAATTGTTGTACAGATTTATAAGCTTTCATAAACATAAGCCCCTGACAAAAACACTCATTGATGTAAACAATGCAACAAATTGATGTGCTAACTTCAGTTTTGGTTTCATGCTCAAAACCTATGTAAATTGCACCTCCTTTTAAACACAGGAAAGTAACATTAAATTCTTGAAGAATTATTAATAAAAACAGCTTGACCTCATCTCGATAGTTATTTCCTTTCATACCCTTTTCCATTATAAGGATTATATTTTGTTTTCATATCTCATTTTTCCCACAAAACTTGTCGCATTCTTATATCTTACTGCAGCGACAGGAAATATGCAAATTAAATGCAAATGAACATAAACCACGAGAATTCACTTTTCGTTTCACATTTTAGTAATTTGTTCATAAAGTCATTAAACCTAATATTAAAGCAAACTTACTTCTTGGGCAGGAACTATAAACTTTCTTAAACATAATGAGAGTCGGCCAAACTTCTAGCTTGACGAAATCTGCACATACGGTTGAAATTTCAAGCCTTCGGTCGAAACTTGTGCCTCGGGTTTTCTGACATGTTTCGAAGCTAAAATTAGCCACCTATAAACGGCCGTAAACCGAAAAATCTATGGTATCTTTCAATGAACAAGAAAAGAGTAAATATCAGCAAATCCACTAGAAATAAGTTTCGATCAACGAAACAGGTTTCGTCAGAATCTTTCTTTTTAGGTGATCTGCCGTCTAGCGTAGTTCTTCTTTTTTTCCTTTTTTTTTCCGTATGGAATTTGTTTGGTTTATATCTTATGAATGACATGGTTTAATGACGATGAAATTGTCATGACATGTGCCATATGCAGGATCATTGAACCTAGCGAAAATATTTTTGATTCATGGCAATGATGCGTGGCGTCATTTAGGCGCCATTTTGTACGAGCCCACTGAAGGAAAACAATTCAATTTGATTCGATTAGGTAATATTTGGCATTGTTGTTTTGAATATATCTCGTCTATCTCTACTCCGATGTCTCCCATATGTTGTTATGTTGTAGCTGAGACTTTACTCTACAAACGAACCTAATTAATTAACAAATGATTTAATATTTGATCAAAAGATGGGATCGTGGTCAAAATTCCAATTTAAGGTGATATTATGGTTTCTATTTGTACGCGTTATATAAATGGAGGGTGGGATTTTTTTTCAAAGTCCTAATTTCTCATTGACTCTGTTTTATTTGATGTCAGATCAGCTGCGTAGTGTATCAAATCTCACAATGAGCTTGTAAATAGGCGTGTTATATGCGTGGAGGGTAGATATTTTTTGTAAAGACCAAATCACCCATTGAGTTTCTTCATGTGATATGTCTTGATCAAAGCGGCAGATCACCAAGTTCGTCTCCGTTACGAATTCAATGTCTAGTTGTGAAATATGTCTTGTCATTTGCGATGCATGAATACACTTTAAATCCAATCTCTGTATCATGGGACACTGCTTCATAGGGATAAAACAATGAGAAATGCTCCAAAACGCCTTTCCCACTTTTACAAGACATTTCCTTAAAGAAACAAAACAAAACATAAAATTGCTCTAAGACTAAAACAGAATGATTAATCTCTTATAGGAGTATGTCACATGCAACGGCGTCAATTTCTCCTGAGTCAATTTTGGCATACTAGACAAATTTTTTACTTTACATCTAAAAATGCTTTAACCAAAACGAATGTACATTGACTCCAAACCGACCACTTTTTGACTAATTGGGGGTAATTTCATTGTTTGTTCTCCTGCACATGGTCTAGCTGATGTTGGTCTGGTGTGGTGTCGGCATTACCCTCCATATTTCACGAACATGACGCTGCATAGACCAAATGTGAGTGTTGTTACCAACCCATCTCGTACTGTTTGGAATCAACACATGTATTCTGACAATGCATTTTCTGTATGTAGAGAGTAACATGTTACCTGGTCTATTCCCAATGAACCACTGAACAGACGCATCATCTCTGTTAGGTACACACTCTAGGTCGACCACGCTACCTGCTGCAACCGTCAAAATGCTAGGAGATCTCTCTGTAAAGGCAAGGGCCTCACTGTGTCGACTCTCGTTGAACCTTCTCTCTACGTTTGGAGAATATGCAACTGTTACATTCTTAGAACGTAACCAATGAAGATATCTAGAGACGGTTGTGTAGAACCCGTATTCCCCCACCTTATTACACCCGACGCCCCAGCTTACAATACCCAGTTGATACCACCGTCCATCATCATGACGAAAAGCAAATGGACCCCCACTGTCGCCTCGGCAAGCGTCCCGCAGCGGACTGTGGTAACCTGCACAAAACATGCTGTCAGTAAACTCCCCTTCTTTCTCATGAACACTCTCCTCGCAAATGTGCCGGTCAACAATAGGTAGCTCCACCTCCTTCATAAACCGGTTGGTTGGACCACTGAAAGTCTCTTGTCCCCATCCGGTCACGCGTCCGGTCGTGCGTTCGTGGATACTGGTCTCCATGAGACGACTGGACAGACCCCAAGGGGCCAGGCAAATAGGACGAATGTAAGGAGTGAACTCCCACAGTGGTGGGTCGATACGTATCAGGGCAATGTCATTATCAAGGTTTATCTTGTTATAATCTTCATGCACAATTATTTCCGCTGGCTGTCGGCTCTTTTCCGACTCTTCTCTTTCGTTTGAATCATGGTCACCGAAAAATAAATTCATGTTTTCCTTTTTAATCAAGTTTTTGTTCTTGTCAAACATGCAATGCGCAGCAGTCAAAATCCACCTCTGGTCCAGGAGTGTCGCACCGCAGATGAAGGTCCATGGATCCCGTGCATTCTCAGGCCTGTATTCCCAGATTCGGACCATGTAGGGCGCCGAACCGTGATTTGCTATAATTCCTCCGACCACACGGCCTGAGACTGCTTCGTTTGTATGTTCGCTGCTCCATTCGCTTGATATTCCAACTTCCTCGGGTTGAGCAACTATTACTTGAGCTGGTGAGGGAGTAGTTTGTGATTTGCTCTCTTTCCAGTAAGTAATTGTGCCGCAAACTAGGAATATAACAATACAAAAAAGTACTTGTAGTCATTTATGTAAGTTAGAGTAGAGATCAATAAAAGCTCATTTCAGCATCTTAATATATGACATTCAATGAATTAGAAGCGAGTTATTCCCATTGAGTGAAAATACAAATATTGTATCTACATAATATTAGCTTTCTGTAACCATGTTAATAGGCTAATAATAGTAGAGGCTGGTAGTAGTATAGTAGACATAGTAGAAGTAGTAGTAGAAGTACCGGGAGGAGTAGTAGTAGCAGCAGTAAGCAGTAGCAATGGTAGTAGTACTAGTAGTAGTATAGTAGTAGTAGTAGTATTAGTTAGTAGTAATAGTAGCAGCGGTGGTGGATCCAGGATTTTCCACAAGGGAGGCCAAAGCCAACGTGTACGCTAGCCTGCGGACGCTCTCGAGTTTTTTCAATTCAGCTTATTTCATTTTTTTTTTTTTTTTCTTCTTTTTTCCCCTCTCTTTTTCCTTTTTTCTCTCTCTCTTTCTATATATTCTCTCTTTTTCCCTATTCTCTAATGTCAGGCCGCCACAAAAAGGGGAGGGTCGCGGTCGATTCGCATCCCCCCACCCCCTCCCCCACTCATCACATCCAATATAGCCGACCCGTCACTCAGAATAGCAATTTGTTTTCTACATTTTTAAGGTGCTCTGCCGCGTAGCGTAGCAGAGCACCTATTGATTTTGTCAGAATATAAGTTTTTTCTTCCTTTTTCCTTTCTTTCTGTATGAATTTTGTTCGTTTCATATCTCATGAATGACTTGTCATTTCTGAATGATATTCGATGTGCATATATAAACTTGACCTCAGGGGTAACATTTTTGTCACACCTATGTCAGTGCGCGCGTCATGGCGTATTCATTCCCGTGCGTCAAACTTTAAATAAAATTAATCTGAATCTGAATCTGAATCTGAAAGAGGCTTAAGCTTGGGAATATAGAGGGCAGCACACGGACGGGCGATACCTACGCTATATCTTGCGAACTTGTTACGCACGACCGAGTCTAGTCTTGCCGCACCCGATTTATCCCGAGTTTCGATTGACTGTTTCTAATTTAGTTTTGAAATATCAACTTTATTGATATGTGATTAATTAAATACATCTAGAATTACACATTATTATAGGTCAGTAAAATAAATTTATTTGCAATTAAATCTTGCAAGTTTTATTTGATATTTGATGGGAGTTTGAAGATTATGTTATGTATTATGGTCTATGTCCAAGCATTGTTAGATCACGTATAGCGAGCACGCAACGTACGCGTACATGATTTCACTTGGTATGCCCTGTGCCTACACTACAAATGTTCATGCAGACTTCCTATGACTGTATTATGTACGATTAAAAGTATTACGCGTGGTACTCCGATTTACCGCTCCGATGTTGTATTGGCGAGTTGTATTGGCGAGTTATGGCGAGTAGCTCTTCTTGTAACTCGGGATAACTCGCGACAACTCGGTATGGCTCGGCGTAACTTTTTACAACATTAGGGGGTTTTCGTTTGTCACGTCGACATAGTCGACGTCAAAGATGTGACGTCATTTCGGCGATCTGCGCATGCGTCGGGTCGTCTGGCGTCGTCAGGCCAAATTTGCGAACCCGTTCATCGATGATTTGAGGTTCGTCAGAAAACTAGTGACCCGTCATCAGAATGACGTCATCTTGCTACATCGCAGCGTAAATCGGAAAGTAAAAACAGAAAGAGAAAGTGATAGAATGATAAAAACAAAGAATAACTTGAGAAATTTATTTATTTATTTATTTATTTATTAAAACATCTTTATACAGGATAATATGTTCAGGTATACTGTTTTTCAACATGGTCCTGTTAACATTAAAAAGCAAATCACATGTGAAATATATAACAACGTTTCAAATAATCTGTATATGTTGACATAAAATTTAAACAAAATAGTAATAACTCAGAAATATAAGTATCATTAGAAATAACATACTATTGTATTATACATTTTACTAAAATACTTTAAAAAGAATATATACAAAAAAGAACAATAGATATAAAAATATTTACAAAAATTAAATTAAAAATAAAACTTCTTATAAATCACTTTAAAAGTTTCAATTGTTTGGGCATTTTGTATAAAGTGGGGAATGTCATTCCATCGCTTAGCACCGGAAAATTTAAGGGCTTGTTTAAAAATTGAGAGGTGGGCTTCAGGTGGGACTACATTAAGACTATCATTGTTCCTAGTATGGTGATTATGTCGTTCACAAAACATTTCGATATCATTACAAAGCTGTGGAGGGGCTAGACCATGTATACATTTGAACATTTGTGTGGCAAGAAAGTAGTCTTTTCTTTCATTAATGTCTTGCCAAGCTAATTTTTTTGAAAGAAACATTCAGGTCAAAGTTGCCAGTAATATAACGTGCGGCTCGTTTTTGTAATCTTTGTAGTTTAGTTTTATGTTTATCTGCACTGTTGGCCCAGACAGAAATACCATAATCGATGCAGGGTTGTATTGTAAATTTATAAAGAGTGTTCAGTAAAGAAGAACTAAGAAATTTCCTCAGTTTTCCAAGGGAACGGATCTTGTATCCAATAGATTTACATAGGTTATTTACATGAATATCCCATTTTAAATCTTCATGAATTTCAACGCCTAAGTATCGTATGGACTTGACCTGCTCAATTTCAATTCCATCAATATATATTTTCAGAATGTCATGAGAACGCGTTTGCAATAATATACTCTTTGTTTTGTCAACATTAATTCTTAGGTGGTTTTGTTTGTACCAATTATTAATAGAATCAATATTTGATTGGAGTATAGAGGTTATTGTTTGCATATCTTTCCCTATTTCAAATAAAATAACATCATCAGCATATATTGTTAGATTACCAGATTTGATTGATTGTGATATATCATTGATAAAAAGTAAAAATATAATCGGGGCAAGTACTCCTCCTTATGGTACCCCTACTGACAGTTCCTTTTTTGCAGAAAGTTTACCTTGCGAGAATACAGCTTGTTTTCTTTCCTTCAGATAACTTGAAAACCATCTTAGCATGTTTTCAGCAATACCATATTGCTGCATTTTGAAAAGTAGAATATCATGGTCTACACTATCGAAACATTTCGATATATCTAAGAAACAAGCCCCAACTTTTTCTTTTTCATTGAATGCATCAAAAAATTCATCGACAACTCTATGCAGACAAGTTGTCGTTGAATGTTTCGGTAGGAAAGCATGTTGTTCAATATTGATAAGATTGTGTTTAAGAAGATAACGTAGCAGTTGTTCCTGAATTTCTTTTTCTATTATTTTAGGGATATGGCTCACAACAGAGATGGGACGGTAGTTTGTTTCTTCATTCCTAGAACCTTTTCCCTTATATATTGGAGTTGTCCTAGCCAATTTCCAGTCTTCTGGTACATCTCCACATTGTATGCTTGAATTAAAAATATCTGTTAAGGATTCATATATATATATATATATACGGTGCTGCTATTTGGAGTAACCTTGTATCAAATCCTAGTACATCAGTATTACTATTTTTATCTAAAAGAAGCAAATATTTAAGTATTTTCTCCTTTTTCAGAGACTCTACTTTGAATTCATACATACATGTTGGGTTTTTCCATTTGATAGACTTACTCTGAGGAAATGATTGTGAAATATTATTACCAACATTAACAAAGAAATCATTCATTTTATCACTGTCTATACAACAAGATGATGAACTATCATTTTAGTCATGCCTGTTACCTGTTGCATTTCTTTCCATAATTTCTTACCATTATTACTATATTTCTTAGACACATCATTGAAGTAAGCCTTTTTCTTTTCATTTCTTAATCTGTTAACATAATTCTTACACTTCACATATTCACAATGATCATCATGAGATTTCGTTGAGTCAGCTTTACTCTTCAAATGATCTCGTTTATACATGAGCTGAATAATGTCATTAGTAATCCAAGGGCAATATCGATCTTTTACCCGTACTTCTTTAAAAGGTGCATAACCATCACTTATTTTCAAGAAAGTTTCTTTCCAGGATATCCATGCCAAAGTCAGAGGCAGAGAATTTTCGTTAGACAATTCAAAAATATTATTGGTTTTAAAAGCTTCAAGGAAGCGGGCTTCGTCGAATTGCTTGAAATCCCGAAACCGCCTCAATTTATGAATTTCTTTTGTATTTTTTAAATCAATGACAGTTTGTACAAGATAGTGATCACTCAATGATATATTAAGTACGTCAGTTAAAATATGTTTTTCAGGTATAGTGCTCAAAATGTGATCAATACAGGTTGCTGATTTTGTAGTAACTCTCGTGGGCTTGGTGACCAATTGGGTTAATAGAAATAAATTCTCCAAGTAATGAACAGGATTACCATGAAGAGTTTCATTAAGTTTATAATCGACATTGAAATCCCCGAGTATAAGTAATTCCATATTTGTGTCATTTGCCTTCTCAAAATTTTCTGTGATCTTCTCAAAATACTCAGTATTTGTATCAGGAGGTCTATAAATACAACATACAAGTAACTTTGCTAGTTTCAGCCCTTGAATTTCAAGCCAGATTAATTCAAGGGAATTGTCATAAAGATCACTTCTCTCAATGAATGATAAGGTACTTTTTATATAGATACAAACGCCACCATCTCGGCGACCATCATTTCTATCTCGCCGATAGAGGGAGTACCCATTTATTTTCACAATTTCACTAGCAATAGAATTATTTAACCAGGTCTCAGATAGACATAAAATATCAAAGTTCATAGTTTTCAACAAATGATTAATTTCGTCAAGTTTATCATACAAGCTTCGCACATTCAAATGAGCTACTTTCAAGCCCTTTGCTTTGTGAGTGTTCAAGTTTTTCACTTGCTTTTTAGGAGAATGTTTCTTTAGTGCATCATTATCGGCACAGTCTTCCTGGCCTGCTTTTTAGCAGGTATATGTATTCTTGCAGAATTTACGTTTGTGTCCAGTTTCATTGCAG